CCTCCTAATGGACATCCCCTATATAACCTTAGTTATTGTTCCTATCCACCTAATGTACATCCCCTATAAATCCTTACCAAATGTTCCTATACGTCTAATGGACATCCCCTATATATCCTTAGTTATTGTTCCTATCCGCCTAATGGACATCCCCTATATATCCTTAGTTATTGTTCCTATCCGGCTAATGGACATGTCCTATATATCCTTAGTTATTGTTCCTATCCGGCTAATTGACATCCCCTATATATCCTTAATTATTGTTCCTATCCGTCTAATGGACATCCCCTATATATCCTTAGTTATTGTTCCTATCCGCCTAATGGACATCCCCTATATATCTTTAATTATTGTTCCTATCCGCCTAATGGACATCCCCTAAAGATCCTTAGTAATTGTTCCTATCCGCCTAATGGACATCCCCTATATATCCTCAGTTATTGTTCCTATTCGTCTAATGGACATCCCCTTTACATCCTTAGTTATTGTTTCTATCCGCCTAATGGACATCCCCTCTATATCCTTAGCAATTGTTCCTATCCGCCTAATGGATATCCCCTAAATATCCTTAGTTATTGTTCCTATCCGTGTAATGGACATCCCCTAAATATCCTTAGTTATTGTTCTTATCCTCCTAATGGACATCCACTATATATCCTTAGTTATTGTTCCTATCCGTCTAATGGATATCCCCTCAATACCCTTAGTAATTGTTCCTATCCGTCTAATCGACATCCCCTAAATATCCTTAGTTATTGTTCCTAACCGCCTAATGGACATCACCTATATATCCTCAGTTATTGTCTCTATCCGTGTAATGGACATCCCCTATATATCCTTAGCAATTGTTCCTATCCGCCTAATGGACATCCCCTATATATCCTTAGTTATTGTTCCTATCTTCCTAATGGACATATCCCATATATCCTGAGTTATTGTTCCTATTCGTCTAATGGACATCCCCTATATATCCTTAGTTATTGTTTCTATACGTCTAATTGACATCCCATATATATTCTTAGTTATTGTTTCTATCCACCTAATCCCCTATATATCCTCAGTTATTGTCTCTATCCGCCTAATCGATATCCCTTATATACCCTCAGTTATTTTCTGTAACCGCCTAATGGACATTTCCTAAATATCCTTAGTTATTGTTCCTATCCCCCTAATGGACATCCCCTATATATCCTCAGTTATTGTTCCTATCCACCTAATGGTTCCTTAGTTATTGTTCCTATGCCCCTAATGGACATCCCCTATATATCCTCAATTCTTGTTACTATCCCCGTAATGGACATCCCTTATATATCCTCAATTATTGTTCCTATCCGCCTAATGGACATCCCCTATATATCCCCTAAATATCCTTAGTTATTGTTCCTATAGGCCTAATGGACATCCCCTATATATCCTTAGCAATTGTTCCTATCTGCCTAATGGACATCCTCTATATATCCTTAGTTATTGTTTCTAATCGTGTAATGGACATCCCCTATATATCATTAGTTATTGTTCCTATCAGCCTAATGGATATCCCCTATATATCCTTTGTAATTGTTCCTATCCGCCTAATGGATATCTCCTATATACACTTAGTTTTTGTTCCTATCTTTCTAATAGACATATGCCATATATCCTTAGTTATTGTTCCTATCTGTCTATTTGACATCTCCTATATATCCTTAGTAATTGTTCCTATCCGCCTAATGGACATCCCCTATATATCCTCAGTTATTGTCTCTATCCGCCTAATGGACATCCCCTATATATCCTTAGTTATTGTTCCTATCCGCCTAATGGACATCCCCAATATATCTTTAATTATTGTTTCTATCCGTCTAATGGATATCCCCTCAATATCCATAGTAGTTCTTCCTATCCGCCTAATGGACATCCCCTATAAATCCTTACCAAATGTTCCTATACGTCTAATGGACATCCCCTATATATCCTTAGTTATTGTTCGTATCTGCCTAATGGACATCACCTAAATATCCTTAGTTATTGTTCCTATCCGCCTAATGGACATCCCCTTTATATCCTTAGTTATTGTTCCTATCCGCCTAATGGACATCCCCTATATATCCTTAGTTATTGTTCCTATCCGCCAAATGGACATCCCCTATATATCCTTAGTTATTGTTCCTATCCGCCTAATGGACATCCCCAATATCTCCTTAGCAATTGTTCCTATCCGCCTAATGGACATCCCCTATATATACTTATTTATTGTTTCTATCCGTCTAATCGACATCCCCTTTATATCCTTAGCTATTGTTCCTATCCGCCTAATGAACATCCCCTATATATCCTTAGTTATTGTTCCTATCCGCCAAATGGACATCCCCTATATATCCTTAGTTATTGTTCCTATCCGCCTAATGGACATCCCCTATATATCCTTAGTTATTGTTCCTATCCGCCTAATGGACATCCCCTATATATCCTCAGTTATTGTCTCTATCCGCCTAATCGACATCCCCTATATATCCTTAATTATTGTTCCTATCCGCCTAAGAGACATCCCCTAAATATCCCTAGTTATTGTTCCTATCCCCTTAATGGACATCCCCTATATATCCTCATTTATTGTCTCTATCCGCCTAATGGACATCCCCTATATATCCTTAGTTATTGTTCCTATCCGCCTAATGGACATCCCCTATATATCCTTAGTTATCGTTCCTCCCGCCTAATGGACATCCTCTATATATTCTTAATTATCATTCCTATCCGACTAATGGACATCCCTTGTATATTCTTAGATATTGTTCCTATCCGCCTAATGGACATCCCCTATATATCCTTAGTTATTGTCTCTATCCGCATAATGTACATCCCCTATATATCTTTAATTATTGTTCCTATCCGCCTAATGGACATCCCCTAAATATCCTTAGTAATTGTTCCTATCCGCCTAATGGACATCCCCTATATATCCTGAATTCTTGTTACTATCCCCGTAATGGACATCACTTATATATCCTTAGTTATTGTTCCTATCCGCCTAATGGACATCCCCAATATCTCCTTAGCAATTGTTCCTATCCGCCTAATGGACATCCCCTATATATCCTTAGTTTTCGTTCCTTCCCCCTAATGGACATCCCCTATCTATCCTTAGTTATTGTTCCTATCCACTTAATGGACATCCCACGTATATTGTTAGTTATTGTTCCTATCCGCCTAATGGACATCCCCTATACATGCTTAGTAATTGTTCCAATCCGCCTAATGGACATCTCCTATATATACTTAGTTATTGTTCCTATGGACATCCCCTAATGGACATCCCCTATATATCCTTAGTTATTGTTCCTATCCGCCTAATGGACATCCCTATATATCCTATATATCCTTAGTTATTGTTCCTATCCGCCTAATGGACATCCCCAACATATCCTTAGTTATTGTTCCTATCCGCCTAATGGACATATCCCTATATATCCTAGTTAGCCTAATTGACATTCCTATATATCCTTAGTTATTGTTCCTATCCGCCTAATGGACATCCCCAATATCTCCTTAGCAATTGTTCCTATCCGCCTAATGGATATCCCCTATATATCCTTAGTTATTGTTCCTATCCGCCTAATGGACATCCCCTATATATCCTTAGTTATTGTTCCTATCCGCCTAATGGACATCCCCTAAATATCCTTATTTATTGTTCCTATCCGCCTGATGGACAACCCCTATATATCTTTAATTATTGTTCCTATTCGCCTAATGGACATCCCCTAAAGATCCTTAGTAATTGTTCCTATCCGCCTAATGGACATTTCCTAAATATCCTTAGTTATTGTTCCTATCCGCCAAATGGTCATCCCCTATATATCCTCAGTTATTGTTCCTCTCCGCCTAATGGACATCCCCTATATATCCTGAATTCTTGTTACTATCCCCGTAATGGACATCACTTATATATCCTTAGTTATTGTTCCTATCCGCCTAATGGACATCCCCTATATATCCTTAGTTATTGTTCCTATCCGCCTAATGGACATCCCCTATATATCCTTAGTTATTGTTCCTATCCGCCTAATGGACATCCCCTATACATCCTTAGTTATTGTTCCTATTCGCCAAATGGACATCCCCTATATATCCTTAGTTATTGTTCCTATCCGCCTAATGGACATCCCCTATATATCCTTAGTTATTGTTCCTATCCGCCTAATGGACATCCTCTATATATCCTTAGTTATTGTTCACATCTGTCTAATGGACATCCCCTATATATCCTTAGTTATTGTTCCTATCCGCCTAATGGACATCCCCTATATTTCCTTAGTTATTGTTCCTATCCGCCTAATGGACATCCCCTATATATCCTCAGTTATTGTTCCTATCCTAATGGACATCCCCTATATATCCTATGGACATCTAATGGACCCTATATATCCTTAGTTATTGTTCCTATCCATCTAATGGACATCCCCTATATATCCTTAATAATTGTTTCTATCCGCCTAATGGACATCCCCTATATATCCTTAGTTACTGTTCCTATCCGTTTAATGGACATTCCCTATATATCTTTATTTATTGTTCCTATCTGCCTAATGGACATCCCCTATATATCCTTAGTTATTGTTCTTATCCGTCTAATGGACATCCCCTAAATATCCTTAGTTATTGTTCCTATCCGCCTAATGGACATCTCCTATATATCCTTAGTAATTGTTCCTATCCGCCTAATGGACATCCCCTATATATCCTCAGTTATTGTCTCTATCCGCCTATTTGACATCCCCTATATATCCTTAGTTATTGTTCCTATCCGCCTAATGGACATCCCCTATATCTCCTTAGCAGTTGTTCCTATCTGCCTAATGGACATCCCCTATATATCCTTAGTTATTGTTCTTATCCGTCTAATGGACATCCCCTAAATATCCTTAGTTATTATAAGCGATAAAGTATTGTTGGTACCTGCGCACTTGCATCTAGTAGTTTGTCCATTAGACGTAAGCGGGAAGGTTGAGGAATTCGAAGTGAAGTAAACATTGAAATCCACATCTGATTCTGAAACTTTTCAAAACGCAACAAAAATGTCGACAAAACGGAGGACCAGACAGAATAGCAAACGAGTATTTCAGCTGTCTGGCTTTGCTGATGTGGAAAGGAAGGAAATGGGAAAGATGATCACGAGATTGGGTGGAATCGACTTCGATTCTCAGGTTTGCCTTATTTTTAGTTTACTTTTCCGTATTTTGCAATGCGTGTACTTTAACTTTGCATATGGTTGAAGTTTGACGAGTGAATTTGAGATTGCTGTGTAGAATGCTGCCTATAGGCCTACTCGTCTCGACGTTTTAATTTTTGAACGCTTTTCCCATCCACACCTGTTAGTTTTTTAAATCTCTTAAATTTATTAGTGTTATTATTGTTATGGAAATTATATTCACTGCCAAAACGAGATTCACTTCTCATAGTCCACACTAATGGTACCATAGAAATGTATGGAGCACAGGTAGATACGATTATATAACACCAGTAAGAAGAGGGGATTTAGATGACTTAACAGGTCAGTGAACACCCCCACTGGTCAACTGAACATGTACAAGTTTGTAAGATCACTAAATTTTGTCTAAAGAAAATATATGATTATACAGAAGGCAAGCTTTATATCCTGTAAAGTTTTTATTTCAAGTTTCATTGCCCATCATTGAGGACCCCTTTGATCCATCATTATTTGTTTGGGCTGACGTAACAAGTCCTATTAGCTTAACACAACCTGTTTTTAATGCCAATATCCCTGTACATCTATACTGTAATATCATGTAACTAAGTCTGGTTTCAGTCCCTCAAAGCTTGGTTAGAGTTAGCCACTGGTTACTGAAATAATTTGATTGCTTCCACTGAGAAAACAAGGACATTAAAAAAAATATCAATCTGGCTGGTCTCAACAAATTTGTAAAATACTATGATAAAGAATGACCCATATTTTGTTTAATTCTTATTTCAAGGGGTCCAACCTAAACTGTAGGTCACGGCCTAACTATCCCCAGTCACAACCAAAATGGCGGCGACCATCCGCTTCACGACACAGCGGTGAGTAAAATAAGTGTTTTGTCTGCTTACAGAGAACGTTCCTTATCACATCAATATTGCGTTTCGGATCTAGAGGAATTTATCTTTATATTCGTGCAACGAATTCACAATATAAGCCAGTCCTGTAAAAATAAACGTGAAAAAACCTCAGTGTTTTGACAGTCAAAACTGGTATCGAGGTCGGTTTTCCTACTTATTTGACTAATATATTACATATCAAACATTTGTATGGTGTAACGATAACAGAATATGCAATATAAAACCTGAATTGTGTAAAAGCAATACGGGTACTGGTATATGAAACACCCACTGGTTCGATTTTTGTTAGTTTAGGAAAACCTTCGTCGGTCACGCCGAGTTTAGGACAATGTATAGTCTACCACAATGTCCATAAATGATCTTCTCACGCATGTTATCTTTGGTTAATTTCAGAAATGAAAAGAAAAAAACGTAAACTGTCACTGTCCCTTCATAGGGCAAGGAAAAGGAAAATCATGTTTACACCAAGTAGATCAACATCGAAGAAATTTAGACCAATAATCTGTTCTCCCGGTTTAATCCCACCAATCAGTTCATCTCCCTGCAGCCTAATATTACCAAAAGGACTACAATCATCTCGAAGTCCGACTGTTTTAAATGGCTCGCCCATTCGGTCACGCCGTTTTCGAAAAAGACTAGACTTGTCCTTTAGAAAACATAGTTCCAGCACTCACAAGAGTGACAATTGGGAAGATATAATTTGCCTGTAAAAATGGGAATGACGAAAATGACATCCTAACCTCTATTGGACCAACGAAGGTGTGCCTAATAAGTCCGAAATTGAAACAGTGTGTTATTCATAAGCCATAATTTGCAATTATGTTATACAATTCGGGTTTTATATTGCATATTCTGTTATTGTTACACCATACAAATGTTTGATATGTAATATATTAGTCAAATAAGTAGGAAAACCGACCTCGATACCAGTTTTGACCGTCAAAACACTGAGGTTTTTTCACGTTTATTTTTACAGGACTGGCTTATATTGTGAATTCGTTGCACGAATATAAAGATAAATTCCTCTAGATCCGAAACGCAATATTGATGTGATACGGAACGTTCTCTGTAAGCAGACAAAACACTTATTTTACTCACCGCTGTGTCGTGAAGCGGATGGTCGCCGCCATATTGGTTGTGACCGGGGATAGTTAGGCCGTGACCTACGGTTTAGGTTGGACCCCTTGTATTTGAAAATGTTTACTAACCACTTAATGCTAATCAAACTTTGACCTACTTGGGGTCAGATGTATAGGATACTGATAGGTAAGTAATTCTCCTCTTATTAAATACTATGGTCAGGGTCATAGTTTAGTTAGAATGTTCTCATTCTGTCTCTCTAACCCCTTTAAAGGGAGGAGAATATGTAAGGTTCTCTAGTCAGCAATATTTTATCACATCCAATAAAGAAAAGCCCCCACCCCTACTCATATATATGTTAGCATTGCCACAGAGATTGGATGTTTTGTATGTGAAATAATAGTTATCATGTAATTGCAATTAAGAAATATGATCTTGATGCATGCCTTTTTAGTAAAAATACTGTAATAACTGTTTGAATTCATGTATGAAATGTTGGATTCTGGTTGTATTTGTCTGGTCAGGTGATGTGGTTGTTGTTATGTCATATATATATAATGACAAGACAATGTGTCAAAGTAGTGCCATCTCAAACAATAGAGTATGGCATAAGTTTAACTATTATGTAAAATGATCAAATCTTAGAACATTATGTAAAAAGGTCTTCTTTTACAGAGTTTTAGGGCAAATTGCACACATATTGTGTGTAAGAAATTATCAAGGAGTGAAAAATTTCTTGGGGGATGTGCTACTGCCATGTGGATCTTGCATCCAAGTTACATCCGAGAGTCATCAAAGATGGGCCATTGGCTTGATGAGAAATACTTTGACTGGAGCCAGATTGATACAGCTGATGCAAAAAATGTCCCTGCAGATATTAAGGAAGCACCTCGAAGATGGCGCTATCTTTTTGAAGTTTTTGGAACAACTGCATTTGCTGGCTGGAAAACTGCTGTAGTTGTCAGTAGTGCAAAAAAGGCTTCCGTGTATAAAAGGTTAGACCAGTTCTTTGCAGTTTTGTTGCCATTGTCTTATGATAAAAAGGTCTAGGAGGGGGTCACATTTTGATGATCGAAATGTTTTTGTGAAAGAGGAAATAACAGTATAAGGGATAATTAATCGTTTCCTATTTAATATCATAGGTATTTCACAAGATTGACACAATATTTATTACATGTGAAAAATATACCTATATTTCTTATATGATATTTTTAACAGGCACTCACTAATTTTTTCAAATAAAAAACAGAAAAACAAAGAAAGGAAAAAAAATCTCAAAACCCTGATACAAACATTAAAACAAATAGTTTTCATAAAGTTAAACAAATACAGGTGTATTAGCACAATACTCTTGACAACAAGACAACATCATTTTAAACTTGCTCTGCTTGGTATTCTACCATTTTATGCCTGGTAAGAATCATTTGCAAACTGTTTTTAGGTACTAGATTAGAGAACTTAAAATACAACCCTCACTTAGTTCATGTCTGAACAAAAAGACTACCAATCTTTTATGCAGTGACTAGAGAGAACCGCTTTCTTGGTCAAAACTACAAAAGTTATGTCATCACTTGAAAAATTATATCATCCCTAAACATTTCTTATGTCATCACTCCACTGATGATGAATGAAAATTTAACCAAATTGATATTCCTATATTTCTTTTGCAAAAAATTAATTAATTCTTTTGTGTTTACCTACAGATAAAATGTCTTGGTGTATATCAAATAGGACCCTGTGTATATCAGTTTATAACAGCTTGATGTGTCAGTTAAATCAGACTTTGTTTGTCAGTTAAATAGGACTTTGTATGTCAGTTAAATATGACTGTGTATCAGTTAAATATAACTTTGTGTATCAGTTAAATAAAGGTTTGTGTATCACTTAAATAGGACTTTGTATGTCAGTTAAATATGACTATTTATCAGTGAAATATAGATTTGTGTATCAGTTAAATAGGACTTTGTATATCAGTTAATAACAGCTTTCTGTGTCAATTAAATATGACCGTGTATCAGTTAAATATAACTTTGTGTATCAGTTAAATAAAGGTTTGTGTATCACTTAAATAGGACTTTGTATGTCAGTTAAATATGACTATTTATCAGTGAAATATAGATTTGTGTATCAGTTAAATAGGACTTTGTATATCAGTTAATAACAGCTTTCTGTGTCAATTAAATATGACTGTGTATCAGTTAAATAAGACCTTGTATGTCAGTTAAATATGACTGTGTATCACTTAAATATAGCTTTGTGTATCAGTTAAATAGGACCTTGTATATCAGTTAAATATAACTTTGTGTATCAGTTAATTACAGCTTGATGTGTCAGTTAAATCAGACTTTGTTTGTTAGTTAAATAGGACTTAGTATGTCAGTTAAATATAACTTTGTGTATCAGTTAATTACAGCTTTGTGTGTCAGTTAAATCAGACATTGTGTGGCAGTTAAATATGACTTTGTGTGTCAGCAAAATATGACTTTGTTTATCAGTTAAATATATAGCCTTGTGTGTCACTTGAATAAGACTTTGTGTGTCAGTTATATATAGCTTTGTGTATCAGTTAAATAACACTTTGTGTATCAGTTAATTAGGACTTTGTATGTCAGTTAAATATGGCTTTTTGTATCAGTTAAATAGGACTGTGTATCAGTTAAATAAGACCTTGTATGTCATTAAATAAGACCTTGTATCAGTTAAATATGACTGTGTATCAGTTAAATAGGACCTTGTATGTCAGTTAAATATGAGTGTGTATCAATTGAATAAGACCTTGTGTATCAGTTAAATATAACTTTGTTGTGTCGCCTGAAGAACTGGCCTACACTTAGGGATCACTTTGTCTGTCGTCACACGGCGGCGTCCGAACGAAAGCTTTCGGTACTTTTTTCTGTAATGCTTTGAGTTATCAAAATGAAATTTGGTATATGGCTTCTTGTTGCAAGGGTACATATTAAGTTTGATTCCCTGCTGTCTGTTATCCTTTTTGGCAGAGTTATGCCCCTTTTAACTTAGAAAATTCTCTGGGAATATTGTTTTCTTGACTTTCTTTGGTTATGCTTCAAGTTATAGAAATGAAATTTGGTATTACAACTTTATGGTTGATCGTTACACGTCCAGTTCAATTTCTGGGTGACTGTGAAACTTTATGCAGGCGACACATACATTTCCGAGGAACTCTTGTTTTGAGTATCATTGAATATGACTTTGTGCATCATTTAGATATGACTTTGTGTGTCAGTTAAATAGGACTGTGTATCAGTTAACTAGAGCTTTGTTTGTCAGTTAAATAAGACATTGTGTGTCTGTTAAATAGGACTGTGTATCAGTTAAATAGGACTTTGTGTATCAGTTAAATATAGCTTTGTGTGTCAGTTAAATAAGACTTTGTTTGTCAGTTAAATAGGACTTTGTATGTCAGTTAAATATAGCTTTGTGTATCAGTTAAATAAAGCTTTGTGTATCAGTTAAATATGACTTTGTGAATTAGTTAAAGATAGCTTTGTATATCTTTATGAGAAAAATGTAAATGCTATCAATATAGTTAAATGTATATAATATTGTACCTTTGTTTTAGAATATTGGCAAGCAACTCCAAAGTCAGGATAATTTCTATGTCTTAATTTGACACAATTGTGCATTGACTATACGAGTTGTCTGCCTTATCAGATTAATGATATTGAGACTTGTTTGTTTGGAATAATAATTAATACATGCAAAAGAATAGATATGCAGTCTATGCTTAACCTGTATTGAACATAAATCTGAAATTTCAGTTTACTGCATAGTGGTGGGGCTCAGGTGTACAACCTAAAACTGCCTGTCACACAGCCAGAGAAAGTGACCAATACCCTGACCTATGTATTTGCCAATGATAAGTGTGCTGTGCACGTAGCTCACCTCATAGAGTTTGGTGTGCTTTGTCTACAACCAGATTACATAGGTGACTACCTCATCAAGGTAAGCATAGTCTTTGTCTAAAATCATATGCAGCTCACAGGGTTGGCCTGATTGCTACAAAATCTGATGGCCATTTTTTTGGCACTCTAAACAATAATAATATTAAAGTGCTTTGAAACTAAATCATGTAGATATTGTGTAAAAAATATTACTTAATGCTTGTTTACTTTATTTCCGAAAAAAGGGCTTATCACATCTGTGGAAAGCTCAGCAGTGTAATAATGGTCTAGATCATTAGCCTAAAAGCTGAATGCATTCAATGTAAATTTGACAGATTCACATGTTTAGCTTTGATAACAGTAATCTATATTGGAGAGGGTAGTGATGTATATCTTGTCGGTGAATTGTTATTGGCAGGATCCCCCTCCTGATCCACTGGACTATTTAATAAATGTTTCTGAGGATTCCATATTCCTGGATGTATCTCAGAATGACAGGAATAGTCAGATGTCAGATCTAGACCTCACTCAGTCTGGACCACCTAGTAGTGGAAACTCACCAGGGAAAAAGTACCTGTCTCTCCCAGGCCTTACTGATACAAGTAGTCCTGTATTATTACCTCTATCCACCACCAACAACCAGTTAACATCAGTGTCAGACCAAAGTCAGAGTAGACCACCCAGTAGTCGCAGGTCACAGGATAAAGGGAATCTTTCTTCCTCTGGCTATAGTTGTTGTCCTAAACAACTTTTACACCAGCCTGATGATACTGCCTCTAATAGCCAAGTAACTTCAAGTGAGTATAAAACCTTCCCGCCATGGCCTTACCTGTTCTGAGATTCCACCCAGTGATTATATAGTGCCTTATTTGTACAAGAATCCAACCACCTTTTTACCACAAGTTAAAAAATAAAAAAACTTGTGTACAATATTGAAATCTTGAAGCCTATCCAACAGATTTATAAAAAAATGATCAGGTAGCAATAGGTATATATATGATGAGCTCATTATGTTTTTATTTCTTATAAATTTATTTCGATATACTGCAAATGTTTTGTCCACTGTAGATATTCTTTGAAGAATACCCCCATCCCAAATGTCTGCCAAACAACACTCCTCTTCTTTTGTTAATGTGTACACATCAAACATAGTTCCTCCCCAATGTCATTATATCTTAAACAATATTCCCTTTCCCTCCTTGTCTTGTCACTGTACGAGACAAGCCCCGCTGTACATATCAATGTGTCAAAGAAGCCACCATCCTCCTGTATAATGTGTTAAACAAACTCCCCTACTGCTTGTCAATTTGTTAATTGAGACTGTCCCTCTACATCTTAAGTGCTCTTGTCATGTGGCAAGCAAGACCTCCATCTTCACTTGTTATTGCATTAAACAACACCACTCCCACCCAATCCACCACCCCAATGTCAAATATATTAAACAAAACAAGATTCCTTTCCAAGATGTCAGACAAGCCCCCTTCCCATTGGAAAATGGGTTAAGGATGACCCCTCAACTTGATTATTATATGTCAAACAAGTCCCCCTCTTTTGATAGTAGGTTAAACTTGACCCCTCCTCCTCCTTGTCAGTGTGTCAAACAAGCCCCCTTCCCATTGCATAGTGGGATGAAGATAACCCAACTCCTTGTTAATGTGTTCAATAAGCCCTCTCCCCTGTAGGAAAGTGGGTTAAAGATGACCCCCTCCTCCTTGTCAGTGTGTCAAACAAGCCTCCCTCTTCATTGGATAGTGGGTTAAATTTGACCCTTCCCCTTTGTCAATATGTCACAGAAGCCTTCCTCCAAATTGGATAGTGGGTGAAAGATGACCCCTCCCCCACCATGTCATTGTGTCAAACAATGCTCCCCCCCTTTCCTCTATATGTTATACAATACTACTCTGAGTAAACATTGTTAAATAATTGTTTCCATATTCTTTTTTTACAGGAACATACAGAGGAACAAGAAGCAAAAGCAAGGAAGTACTTCCTTCTGTTTGTATAGAAGTAAATGTACCTAATCCCACTCAGCCAGTCCAACTCAGCAACCAAAAGAAACGACAGTTTAGTGAAATCCTAGGAGTTGAAGATGCACTGAAGCAACTAAAGAAACTTAAAGTAATGTTGGTTTATTGATTATATCATATCAAGAATGTAGCAGAATGAAATTTAGTCTTTATTAAACATTGTATGTTGAAAGGGGACATAAAAAGATAAAAAGGGCCTGAGTAAATGTGAAAATAAATAGTAACCCTGTTTTGTTATATATGTGATACAAACAGCCAGTAGAATTCAACTGTTTATATGATGAGGGACAAGATACAAATCAATCGTGTTTTTAAAGATATTAATTTTGGTTGGTGTTGAAGGACAGAATAGAAAATATTGATATGTGTGGTATGTTTGTTTATTCTAATACATATCAAGAACACATAAGAAAAATCTTGAATTATGTTTGTCATAATATGTGTCAAAGATAGAGAACAAAATGTTTTGATGTGGGCTATGTTTGTCTGTCTTGATAGGTTTCTGAGAGAAGATTTCTTTGGAAGCCTGTCAGATGTGTGTTGACAAATAATGAAGACCAGCAGCAGGTACAATTGTCCTAAAACAACTGTATAATGGTTCTTTTTGCCATGTGCAAAGTTCACAATAAAAACTGGAAAATGTAAGATTTTGTCATTGAAGAGCTGGAAACAAAAATAATTATCATAATGAGAGTCATTTTCCTCAATCTTGGAGTTTATAACTTGCACTTTTTGATCCATAAAAAGTAAAGTTTATCCTGTCCTAACTCTATCTATAATCTTTCATGGAACTTGGTGAACACAATAAATACTTTCAGTGTTTATGCACTAGTTATCTATTTTCAGTTTGATTTTGCAGTGCATTATGCTTGCATTGTTACTCAGTATGGGTGAGATGAGGGGTAGTTTCAGTGTATCAAGTTAATCCTAGATTGTAGCTCTAATTACGTGAGGATTATTTTTTGGTGGATAAGAAATCTGAGATAACCGTGTCATTTTATTAGAAACATTACAGCTTCTTATCAAAACAAATGAATAATACATATTGGATGAGCTTCAAGTTTTGAAAACATTCGAGAAAACATACACAAACTCCTACAGGTAAAAGTGAATAATTTTAAGCAAGAAAACATATTCCAATGGAGTTTAATTACAGCATGAAAGTATCATACACAGGTAGCTAGGAATACCTTAATTAAGCAAGAAAACATACACACAAACTCCTACAGCTACCTTAATTAAGCAAGAAAACATACACACAAACTCCTACAGGTAGCTAGGAAACCTGCAGGTAGCTAGGAATACCTTTAAGCAAGAAAACATACACACAAACTCCCTAGCAGGAATACCTAGGAATACCTTAATTAAGCAAGAAAACATACACACAAACTCCTGCAGGTAGCTAGGAATACCTTAATTAAGCAAGAAAACATACACACAAACTCCTACAGGTAGCTAGGAATACCTTAATTAAGCAAGAAAACATACACACAAACTCCTACAGGTAGCTAGGAATACCTTAATTAAGCAAACAATTATACACACAAACTCCTACAGGTAGCTAGGAATACCTTAATTAAGCAGGAAAACATACACACAAACTCCTGCAGGTAGCTAGGAATACCTTAATTAAGCAAAAATTATACACACAAACTCCTGCAGGTAGCTAGGAATACCTTAAATAAGCAAGAAAATATACACACAAACTCCTGCAGGTAGCTAGGAATACCTTAATTAAGCAAGAAAACATACACTCAAATTCCTACAGGTAGCTAGGAATACCATATTTAAGCAAGAAAACATACACAAAAACTCCTACAGGTAGCTAGGAATACCTTAATTAAGCAAGAAAACATACACATAAACTCCTACAGGTAGCTAGGAATACCTTAATTAAGCAAGAAAACATACACACAAACTCCTACAGGTAGCTAGGAATACCTTAATTAAGCAAACAATTATACACACAAACTCCTACAGGTAGCTAGGAATACCATAATTAAGCAGGAAAACATACACACAAACTCCTGCAGGTAGCTGGGAATACCTTAATTAAGCAAGAAAACATACAAACTCCTACAGGTAGCTAGGAATACCTTAATTAAGCAAGAAAACATACACACAAACTCCTGCAGGTAGCTAGGAATACCTTAATTAAGCAAGAAAACATACACACAAACTCCTGCAGGTAGCTAGGAATACCTTAATTAAGCAAGAAAACATACATACAAACTCCTGCAGGTAGCTAGGAATACCTTAAGTAAGCAAGAAAACATTCACACAAACTCCTACAGGTAGCTGGGAATACCTTAATTAAGCAAGAAAACATACAAACTCCTACAGGTAGCTAGGAATACCTTAATTAAGCAAGAAAACATACAAACTCCTACAGGTAGCTAGGAATACCTTAATTAAGCAAGAAAACATACACACAAACTCCTACAGGTAGCTAGGAATACCTTAATTAAGCAAGAAAACATACACACAAACTCCTGCAGGTAGCTAGGAATACCTTAATTAAGCAAGAAAACATACACACAAATCCTGCAGGTAGCTAGGAATACCATAATTAAGCAAGAAAACATACAAACTCCTACAGGTAGCTAGGAATACCTTAATTAAGCAGGAAAACATACACACAAACTCCTGCAGGTAGCTGGGAATACCTTAATTAAGCAAGAAAACATACAAACTCCTACTGGTAGCTAGGAATACCTTAATTAAGCAAGAAAACATACACACAAACTCCTACAGGTAGCTAGGAATACCTAGGAATACCTTAATTAAGCATAAAAACATACACTCAAATTCCTACAGGTAGCTAGGAATACCTTAATTAAGAAAGAAAACATACACACAAACTCCTACAGGTAGCTGGGAATACCTTAATTAAGCAAGAAAACATACAAACTCCTGCAGGTAGCTAGGAATACCTTAAATAAGCAAGAAAATATACACACAAACTCCTGCAGGTAGCTAGGAATACCTTAATTAAGCAAGAAAACATACACACAAACTCCTGCAGGTAGCTAGGAATACCTTAATTAAGCAAGAAAACATACACACAAACTCCTGCAGGTAGCTAGGAATACCTTAATTAAGCATAAAAACATACACTCAAATTCCTACAGGTAGCTAGGAATACCATATTTAAGCAAGAAAACATACACACAAACTCCTGCATGTAGCTAGGAATACCTTAAGTAAGCAAGAAAGAAAAGATACACACAAACACTACACACAAACACTTGCCGGTAGCTAGGAATACCTTAATTAAGCAAGAAAACATACAAACTCGTACAGGTAGCTGGGAATACCATAATTAAGCAAACAATTATACACACAAACTAATACAGGTAGCTAGAAATACCTTAATTAAGCAAAACAACATACAAACTCCTAAAGGTAGCTAGGAATACCTTAATTAAGCAAGAAAACATACTCAAAAACTCCTACAGGTAGCTAGGAATACCTTAATTAAGCAAGAAAACATACACATCAACTCCTACAGGTAGCTAGGAATACCTTAATTAAGCAAGAAAACATACAAACTAATACAGGTAGCTAGGAATACCTTGATTAAGAAAGAAAACATACACACAAACTCCTACAGGTAGCTGGGAATACCTTAATTAAGCAAGAAAACATACAAACTCCTGCAGGTAGCTAGGAATACCTTAATTAAGCAAGAAAACATACACACAAACTCCTGCAGGTAGCTAGGAATACCTTAAGTAAGCAAGAAAACATACAAACTAATACAGGTAGCTAGGAATACCTTAATTAAGCAAGAAAACATACACACAAACTCCTACAAGTAGCTGGGAATACCTTAATTAAGCAAGAAAACATACAAACTCCTACAGGTAGCTAGGAATACCTTAATTAAGCAAGAAAACATACACACAAACTCCTACAGGTAGCTAGGAATACCTTAATTAAGCAAGAAAACATACACACAAACTCCTGCAGGTAGCTAGGAATACCTTAATTAAGCAAGAAAACATACACACAAACTCCTACAGGTAGCTAGGAATACCTTAATTAAGCAAGAAAACATACACACAAACTCCTACAGGTAGCTAGGAATACCTTAATTAAGCAGGAAAACATACACACAAACTCCTGCAGGTAGCTGGGAATACCTTAATTAAGCAAGAAAACATACAAACTCCTACAGGTAGCTAGGTAGCTGGGAATACCTTAATTAAGCAAGAAAACACACAAACTCCTGCAGGTAGCTAGGAATACCTTAATTAAGCAAGAAAACATACACTCAAATTCCTACAGGTAGCTAGGAATACCATATTTAAGCAAGAAAACATACACACAAACTCCTGCATGTAGCTAGGAATACCTTAATTAAGCAAGAAAACATACAAACTAATACAGGTAGCTAGGAATACCTTAATTAAGCAAACAATTATACACACAAACTCCTACAGGTAGCTAGGAATACCTTAATTAAGCAGGAAAACATACACACAAACTCCTGCAGGTAGCTGGGAATACCTTAATTAAGCAAGAAAACATACAAACTCCTACAGGTAGCTAGGAATACCTTAATTAAGCAAGAAACAAACTCCTACAGGTACACATTAAGCAAGAAAACATACACACAAACTCCTGCAGGTAGCTAGGAATACCTTAATTAAGCAAGAAAACATACACACAAACTCCTACAGGTAGCTAGGAATACCTTAATTAAGCAAGAAAACATACAAACTAATACAGGTAGCTAGGAATACCTTAATTAAGCAAACAATTATACACACAAACTCCTACAGGTAGCTAGGAATACCTTAATTAAGCAAGAAAACATACACACAAACTCCTACAGGTAGCTAGGAATACCTTAATTAAGCAAGAAAACATACACACAAAAACATAACATACACACAAACTCCTACAGGTAGCTAGGAATACCTTAATTAAGCAAACAATTATACACACAAACTCCTGCATGTAGCTAGGAATACCTTAATTAAGCAAGAAAACATACACACAAACTCCTGCAGGTAGCTAGGAATACCTTAATTAAGCAAGAAAACATACACACAAACTCCTGCAGGTAGCTAGGAATACCTTAATTAAGCAAGAAAACATACACACAAACTCCTACAGGTAGCTAGGAATACCTTAATTAAGAAAACATACACACAAACTACACACAAACAGGTAGCTAGGAATACCTTAATTAAGCAAGAAAACATACACACAGGTAGCTAGGAATACCTAAGCAAGAAAACATACAAACTCTTACAGGTAGCTAGGAATACCTTAATTAAGCAAACAATTATACACACAAACTCCTACAGGTACTTAGGAATACCTTAATTAAGCAAACAATTATACACACAAACTCCTACAGGTAGCTAGGAATACCTTAGTTAAGCAAACAATTATACACACAAACTCCTACAGGTACTTAGAAATACCTTAATTAAGCAAGAAAACATACACACAAACTCCTACAGGTAGCTGGGAATACCTTAATTAAGGAAGAAAACATACAAACTCCTACAGTTAGCTAGGAATACCTTAAATAAGCAAGAAAACATTCACACAAACTCCTACAGGTAGCTGGGAATACCTTAATTAAGCAAGAAAACATACAAACTCCTACAGGTAGCTAGGAATACCTTAAATAAGCAAGAAAATATACACACAAACTCCTGCATGTAGCTAGGAATACCTTAATTAAGCAAGAAAACATACACACAAACTCCTGCAGGTAGCTAGGAATACCTTAATTAAGCAAGAAAACATACACACAAACTCCTGCAGGTAGCTAGGAATACCTTAATTAAGCATAAAAAATTAAGCATAAAAACATACACACAAATTCCTACAGGTAGCTAGGAATACCATATTTAAGCAAGAAAACATACACACAAACTCCTGCATGTAGCTAGGAATACCTTAAGTAAGCAAGAAAAGATACACACAAACACTTGCAGGTAGCTAGGAATACCTTAATTAAGCAAGAAAACATACAAACTCGTACAGGTAGCTGGGAATACCATAATTAAGCAAACAATTATACACACAAACTAATACAGGTAGCTAGAAATACCTTAATTAAGCAAAACAACATACAAACTCCTAAAGGTAGCTAGGAATACCTTAATTAAGCAAGAAAACATACCCACAAACTCCTGCAGGTAGCTAGGAATACCTTAATTAAGCAAGAAAACATACACACAAACTCCTGCAGGTAGCTAGGAATACCTTAATTAAGCAAGAAAACATACACATAAACTCCTACAGGTAGCTAGGAATACCTTAATTAAGCAAACAATTATACACACAAACTCCTACAGGTAGCTAGGAATACCATAATTAAGCAGGAAAACATACACACAAACTCCTGCAGGTACTAGGAATACTTAATTAAGCAAGAAAAATACACTGCAGGTAGCTAGGAATACCTTAATTAAGCAAGAAAACATACACACAAACTCCACACAGGTAGCTAGGAATACCTTAATTAAGCAAGAAAACATACACACAAACTCCCAGGTAGCAGGAATACCTTAATTAAGCAAGAAAACATACCAGGTAGCTAGGAATATAATTAAGCAAGAAAACATACACACAAACTCCTGCAGGTAGCTAGGAATACCTTAATTAAGCAAGAAAACATACACACAAACTCCTGCAGGTAGCTAGGAATACCTTAATTAAGCAAGAAAACATACACACAAACTCCTACAGGTAGCTAGGAATACCTTAATTAAGCAAGAAAAATACCTCCTACAGGTAGCTAGGAATACCTTAATTAAGCAAGAAAACATACACACAAACTCCTACAGGTAGCTAGGAATACCTTAATTAAGCAAGAAAACATACACACAAACTCCTGCAGGTAGCTAGGAATACCTTAATTAAGCAAGAAAACATACACACAAACTCCTACAGGTAGCTAGGAATACCTTAATTAAGCAAGAAAACATACACACAAACTCCTACAGGTAGCTAGGAATACCTTAATTAAGCAAGAAAACATACACACAAACTCCTGCAGGTAGCTAGGAATACCTTAATTAAGCAAGAAAACACACACAAACTCCTACAGGTAGCTAGGAATACCTTAATTAAGCAAGAAAACATACAAACTAATACAGGTAGCTAGGAATACCTTAATTAAGCAAACAATTATACACACAAACTCCTACAGGTAGCTAGGAATACCTTAATTAAGCAAGAAAACATACACACAAACTCCTACAAGTAGCTGGGAATACCTTAATTAAGCAAGAAAACATACAAACTCCTACAGGTAGCTAGGAATACCTTAATTAAGCAAGAAAACATACACACAAACTCCTGCAGGTAGCTAGGAATACCTTAATTAAGCAAGAAAACATACACACAAACTCCTGCAGGTAGCTAGGAATACCTTAATTAAGCAAGAAAACATACACACAAACTCCTGCAGGTAGCTAGGAATACCTTAATTAAGCATAAAAACATACACTCAAATTCCTACAGGTAGCTAGGAATACCATATTTAAGCAAGAAAACATACACACAAACTCCTGCATGTAGCTAGGAATACCTTAAGTAAGCAAGAAAAGATACACACAAACACTTGCAGGTAGCTAGGAATACCTTAATTAAGCAAGAAAACATACAAACTCGTACAGGTAGCTGGGAATACCATAATTAAGCAAACAATTATACACACAAACTAATACAGGTAGCTAGAAATACCTTAATTAAGCAAAACAACATACAAACTCCTACAGGTAGCTAGGAATACCTTAATTAAGCAAGAAAACATACACACAAACTCCTGCAGGTAGCTAGGAATACCTTAATTAAGCAAGAAAACATACACACAAACTCCTGCAGGTAGCTAGGAATACCTTAATTAAGCAAGAAAACATACACATAAACTCCTACAGGTAGCTAGGAATACCTTAATTAAGCAAGAAAACATACACACAAACTCCTACAGGTAGCTGGGAATACCTTAATTAAGCAAGAAAACATACAAACTCCTACAGGTAGCTAGGAATACCTTAAATAAGCAAGAAAATATACACACAAACTCCTGCAGGTAGCTAGGAATACCTTAATTAAGCAAGAAAACATACACACAAACTCCTGCAGGTAGCTAGGAATACCTTAATTAAGCAAGAAAACATACACACAAACTCCTGCAGGTAGCTAGGAATACCTTAATTAAGCAAGAAAACATACACACAAACTCCTGCATGTAGCTAGGAATACCTTAATTAAGCAAGAAAACATACACACAAACTCCTGCAGGTAGCTAGGAATACCTTAATTAAGCAAGAAAACATACACACAAACTCCTACAGGTAGGGACATACCTTAATTAAGCAAGAAAACAACATACAAAACAGGTAGCTAGGAATACCAAAAACTCCTACAGGTAGCTAGGAATACCTTAATTAAGCAAGAAAACATACACATCAACTCCTACAGGTAGCTAGGAATACCTTAATTAAGCATAAAACATACAAACTAATACAGGTAGCTAGGAATACCTTAATTAAGCAAGAAAACATACACACAAACTCCTGCAGGTAGCTAGGAATACCTTAATTAAGCAAGAAAACATACACACAAACTCCTACAGGTAGCTAGGAATACCTTAATTAAGCAAGAAAACATACACACAAACTCCTACAGGTAGCTGGGAATACCTTAATTAAGCAGGAAAACATACACACAAACTCCTACAGGTAGCTAGGAATACCTTAAGTAAGCAAGAAAACATACACACAAACACCTACAGGTAGCTAGGAATACCTTAATAAAGCAAGAAAACAAACAAACTAATACAGGTAGCTAGGAATACCTTAATTAAGCAAGAAAACATACACATCAACTCCTACAGGTAGCAGGTAGCTAGGAATACCTTAATTAAGCAAGAAAACATACACATAAACTCCTACAGGTAGCTAGGAATACCTTAATTAAGCAAGAAAACATACACACAAACTCCTGCAGGTAGCTAGGAATACCTTAATTAAGCAAGAAAACATACACACAAACTCCTACAGGTAGCTAGGAATACCTTAATTAAGCAAGAAAACATACACACAAACTCCTGCAGGTAGCTAGGAATACCTTAATTAAGCAAAGAAAACACACAAACTCCTACACATACACACAAACTCCTGCATGTAGCTAGGAATACCTTAAGTAAGCAAGAAAAGATACACACAAACTCTTGCAGGTAGCTAGGAATACCTTAATTAAGCAAGAAAACACATAAACTCCTACAGGTAGCTAGGAATACCTTAATTAAGCAGGAAAACATACACATAAACTCCTACAGGTAGCTAGGAATACCTTAATTAAGCAAGAAAACACATAAAGTCCAACAGGTAGCTAGGAATACCTTATTTAAGTAAGAAAACATAAAAACTCCTACAGGTAACTAGGAATACCTTAATTAAGCAGGAAAACATACACATAAACTCCTACAGGTAGCTAGGAATACCTTAATTAAGCAAGAAAACACATAAACTCCAACAGGTAGCTAGGAATAGCTTATTTAAGCAAGAAAACATACACACAAACTCCTACAGGTAGCTAGGAATACCTTAATTAAGCAAGAAAACATACACACAAACTCCTACAGGTAGCTAGGAATACCTTAATTAAGGAAGAAAACATACATACAAACTCCTGCAGGTAGCTAGGAATACCTTAAGTAAGCAAGAAAACATACAAACTCCTACATATGTTGTGATGTTTGTAGCATGCTGTAAATGAAAGTCTGGCCATCAAGTCTTACACAGTTCTGATGAGGTTATTACAAGTACACCCACCAACATCTCCACTCTTCACTGCCCTGTATATGAAGTCATTGACTTTTGCAACTGAAGAGATAGAAGATTTAAACAAGCCTTGGCAGTTTATCAAAAGTGTTACTCAGTAGGTATCCATCTATTTTACAGTGTTTCGTCCATTATAATCAGATGATGAGGTTTTCAGTCAGTTTGCCTCTGTGCTGCTTCCTATCTTTTGAAGATTTTTTTCTTTTAAAATTGTTACAACTTTAAAAAGTCAATGGGGCTGGCAGCAAGTTCACTGCTTTTCTTATTTTGGCAAGTTTGGCAATGGAAGTTCAATTTTGCAGTTGCATTTACATGTACTATCCTTTTTACTAGTTATACATTGTTGCTGTTTGGTGATATACAATGTATAACATCAACCATCTATTTTACAGTGTTTCGTCCATTATAATCAGATGATGAGGTTTTCAGTCAGTTTGCCTCTGTGCTGCTTCCTATCTTTTGAAGATTTTTTTCTTTTAAAATTGTTACAACTTTAAAAAGTCATACAATGGGTTGCTGTTTGGTGATATACTGTTGATGTTTAGTTATACATTGTTGCTGTTTTGATTACTGTTGATTTTGTTATACATTGCAAGTTTGGATATATGGAAGTTATACATTGTTGCTGTTTGCATATACTGTTGTAGTTATCCTGTTTGGTGATATACTAGTTATACATTGTTGCTGTTTGGTGATATACTGTTGATATTATACATTGTTGCTGTTTGGTGATATACTGTTGATATTTAGTTATACATTGTTGCTGTTTGGTGATCTACTGTTGATGTTTAGCTATACATTGTTGCTGTTTGGTGATATTGTTGCTGTTTGGTGATATACTGTTGATATTTAGTTATACATTGTTGCTGTTTGGTGATATACTGTTGATATTATACATTGTTGCTGTTTGGTGATATACTGTTGATATTTAGTTATACATTGTTGCTGTTTGGTGATATACTGTTGATATTTAGTTATACATTGTTGCTGTTTGGTGATATACTGTTGATATTATACATTGTTGCTGTTTGGTGATATACTGTTGATGTTATACATTGTTGCTGTTTGGTGATATACTGTTGATGTTTAGTTATACATTGTTGCTGTTTGGTGATATACTGTTGATATTATACATTGTTGCTGTTTGGTGATATACTGTTGATATTTAGTTATACATTGTTGCTGTTTGGTGATATACTGTTGATATTATACATTGTTGCTGTTTGGTGATATACTGTTGATATTATACATTGTTGCTGTTTGGTGATATACTGTTGATATTATACATTGTTGCTGTTTGGTGATATACTGTTGATATTTAGTTATACATTGTTGCTGTTTGGTGATATACTGTTGATATTATACATTGTTGCTGTTTGGTGATATACTGTTGATATTTAGTTATACATTGTTGCTGTTTGGTGATATACTGTTGATAGTTATACATTGTTGCTGTTTGGTGATATACTGTTGATAGTTATACATTGTTGCTGTTTTTGATATACTGTTGATATGTTATACATTGTTGCTGTTTGGTGATATACTGTTGATATTATACATTGTTGCTGTTTGGTGATATACTGTTGATATTTAGTTATACATTGTTGCTGTTTGGTGATATACTGTTGATGTTTAGTTATACATTGTTGCTGTTTGGTGATCTACTGTTGATGTTTAGTTATACATTGTTGCTGTTTGGTGATATACTGTTGATGTTATACATTGTTGCTGTTTGGTGATCTACTGTTGATGTTTAGTTATACATTGTTGCTGTTTGGTGATATACTGTTGATGTTATACATTGTTGCTGTTTAGTGATATACTGTTGATATTATACATTGTTGCTGTTTGGTGATATACTGTTGATGTTTAGTTATACATTGTTGCTGTTTGGTGATCTACTGTTGATGTTTAGTTATACATTGTTGCTGTTTGGTGATATACGGTTGATGTTATACATTGTTGCTGTTTGGTGATATACTGTTGATATTTAGTTATACATTGTTGCTGTTTGGTGATATACTGTTGATATTATACATTGTTGCTGTTTGGTGATATACTGTTGATGTTATACATTGTTGCTGTTTGGTGATATACTGTTGATGTTATACATTGTTGCTGTTTGGTGATATACTGTTGATGTTATACATTGTTGCTGTTTGGTGATATACTGTTGATATTATACATTGTTGCTGTTTGGTGATATACTGTTGATGTTTAGTTATACATTGTTGCTGTTTGGTGATATACTGTTGATGTTATACATTGTTGCTGTTTGGTGATATACTGTTGATATTTAGTTATACATTGTTGCTGTTTGGTGATATACTGTTGATATTATACATTGTTGCTGTTTGGTGATATACTGTTGATGTTATACATTGTTGCTGTTTGGTGATATACTGTTGATGTTATACATTGTTGCTGTTTGGTGATATACTGTTGATGTTATACATTGTTGCTGTTTGGTGATATACTGTTGATATTTAGTTATACATTGTTGCTGTTTGGTGATATACTGTTGATATTATACATTGTTGCTGTTTGGTGATATACTGTTGATATTTAGTTATACATTGTTGCTGTTTGGTGATCTACTGTTGATATTATACATTGTTGCTGTTTGGTGATATACTGTTGATATTTAGTTATACATTGTTGCTGTTTGGTGATATACTGTTGATATTATACATTGTTGCTGTTTGGTGATATACTGTTGATATTTAGTTATACATTGTTGCTGTTTGTTGATATACGGTTGATGTTATACATTGTTGCTGTTTGGTGATATACTGTTGATGTCAAGTTATACATTGTTGCTGTCTGCAAGTATTGGGTTGATGTTTAGTTTTGTTGATGTTTAAATAAACTATTTCTGTTTTGTTGTTGACAGGAAAATCATAGAAACACCAAAGGATTCTAGGAATCATGATTTTAATCACAATATCATGCTACTGAAGTTCCTGGTTGCTTTACTGGAACAAAATTTCAAGTTCTGTCTGCAAAGGTATAGTCTTATCAGACTTGAAATTTCTTGTATATATTTCTTGAAAACAAAAAGTTTAATAATAATACATTTGACACAGATATATACAGGTATGTATATTGAAGACAGATCCTCAACGTGGTGTGAATGACATATATCCACAAACAATTGAGTCTGTGTGTTAAACGTAGTCGACTACAGCACATTGACTACAGCACATTGTTACTTATACAGCTTAAAAAGTTGGTTGATTCCGTACTATCTCATACACTACATACGTCAGTGCTGGTATGCTGCACACTGGTTATTTGTCCGATAAAGGGACATGTAGTCATCAAAATGTCAGACTCTATAATCTTTTACTGATTGTGTTGTAAAAACTTCTTTTCTGCAGTCTATAACATATCTGGAATATTCCTGGAAAGATGAAATACAAAATTTAGCTTCTCACCCATAACAGATATACTGAAAATGAAACCAGCACCAAGAAGATGGTAGGTTGTATGGTCACTCAGGTACTTTGGCCGGGAACTTCCCAATTCATCGTCAATAACAAGTGCCATGAACTCCTGGCTTCTCTGAGCAGCTGTCTGTCAAGTGAATTAGACATGATGCAGAAGGTGTGTGACTCATGTTTATCTTGAGATTAATATAATCCAGTGATTTCTTTTTCTGTTGTGTGATCCAGTGTTATCTAAAGTTCTGTTGTGTGTGATCCAGTGTGATTTAGAGTTCTGTTGTGTGTGATTCTGTGTGATTTAGTGTTCTGTTGTGTGTGATCCAGTGTGATTTAGAGTTCTGTTGTGTGTGATCCAGTGTGATTTAGAGTTCTGTTGTGTGTGATCCAGTGTGATTTAGTGTTCTGTTGTGTGTGATCCAGTATGATTTAGAGTTCTGTTGTGTGTGATCCAGTGTGATTTAGAGGTCTGTTGTGTGTGATCCAGTATGATTTAGAGTTCTGTTGTGTGTGATCCAGTGTGATTTAGAGTTCTGTTGTGTGTGATCCAGTGTGATTTAGAGTTCTGTTGTTTGTGATCCAGTGTGATTTAGAGTTCTGTTGTGTGTGATCCAGTGTGATTTAGAGTTCTGTTGTGTGTGATCCAGTGTGATTTAGAGTTCTGTTGTGTGTGATCCAGTGTGATTTAGAGTTCTGTTGTGTGGTCCAGTATGATTTAGAGTTCTGTTGTGTGTGATCAAGTATGATTGAGAGGTCTGTTGTGTGTGATCCAGTGTGATTTAGAGTTCTGTTGAAGGAATTTAATATTATAATATATATTTATTACCAGTAATATTTCTGATAAAGTATCAGCTAGTTATCATTGTAAATGTTTTTTCATATAACCAGACTGAAGAATAACTTCATTGTGTGTCTAAATTTCTGACCGATTAAAACAAATGATAAGGATGATTTATTCATTTTATTTTCCAGATTCAGATATTGCCATTGCTACTGAGTCTGATATCGATGGCTGCAGAATGTTGTCGACTGACAGAGAATCTCTTTAGTGACCATGTTGACAGCATTCTGACAACTAAAGAGGAAAGAGCGATTGCATTTATACATGAGTTGTCACGAAATATAGATGGTAAGAAAATTTATACATAATTTGTCACAAAATATAGATGGTAAGAAAAATTATACATAATTTGTTACAAATTATTGACGGTAAAAATATTTACGCACAAGTTATCACAAACATTGTAGCAATTGCTAAATTTGATTTTTTAACTGCACAGGATTGACTAGGCAGATGTAAATAGGTCACACCCGTATTGCCACATTAGGTTTTGTCTTGTCTATATCTAGATATCTATAAGTGCTTCGTAGAGTAGACATTTAAAAAGATAATATGGGCAAATGGTGAGATGGTTAACTGTCATGTTGCATTATCCAAGGAATTGTTTCAAAATATCTGTATACCTCTGTATTTCCAATTATGTTTTAAATGAAGCCAAGTGCATGTAGAAATGTGTTTTGATGTCCCTATAGTGGGCCACACAGATGAACAGTTGTTGGAAATGATCCTTCACTCCCTTCAGCCAGCCTGGTTATGCCTTAGTGTGTGTCTTCTCTTACTCAACAATATGGATGATTACCTGGTGCTGGAAGGGGTCTCTAGGGACAGCGTTGAGAGGATATCTCTACACACTATCGTATGTATATAATGGTGATGGAATGTTTTTACTTGGAGGGAAATTCTCTGTATACAAAAGTATGTATATAATTTTACTCAAGGAGGTCCAGAGAGAGGAGAAATCATTTTACTTTATAGTATGAATATAATGGTATTGGAGAGGGTCCCTTGGGAGGGGACGTCTTTGCAACATAAGTATTATAGAATGGTGCTGGAATGGGTTCTCAGGGAAAGGACATTTTTACACACAATAGTTTGTATATAATGATAGGAGGGGTTCGACATCTCCAAACGTGAAAGTGTGAATATAAATTGTCCCAGAGGGGTTGTCCAGAGAGAGGACAGGTCCACATACTATAGTATGTATATAATGGTCCTTGAGTGGTTGCCCAGAGAGAGGACAGGGCCACACTATAGTGTAAATATAATGGTCCTTGAGTGGTTGCCCAGAGACAGGAAAGGTCCACACACTATAGTGTGCTTGAGTGGTTGCCAGAGACAGGAAAGGTCCACACACTATAGTGTGCTGGAGTGGTTGCCAGAGACAGGAAAGGTCCACACACTATGGTGTAAATATAATGGTCCTTGAGTGGTTGCCAGAGACAGGAAAGGTTCACACACTATAGTGTAAATATAAAGGTCCTTGAGTGGTTGCCCAGAAACAGGAAAGGTCCACACACTATAGAGTGCTGGAGTGGTTGCCAGAGACAGGAAAGGTCCACACACTTTAGTGTAAATATAATGGTCCTTGAGTTGTTGCCAGAGACAGGAAAGGTCCACACACTGTAGTGTAAATATCATGGTCCTTGAGTGGTTGCCCAGAGACAGGAAAGGTCCACACACTATAGTGTAAATATAAAGGTCCTTGAGTGGTTGCCAGAGACAGGAAAGGTCCACACACTATAGTGTAAATATAATGGTCCTTGAGTGGTTGCCCAGAGACAGGAAAGGTCCACACACTATAGTGTAAATATAATGGTCCTTGAGTGGTTGCCAGAGACAGGAAAGTTCCACACACTATAGTGTGCTGGAGTGGTTGCGAGAGACAGGAAAGGTCCACACACTATAGTGTAAATATCATGGTCCTTGAGTGGTTGCCCAAAGACAGGAAAGTTCTACACTCTTTAGTGTGAATATAATGGTTCTTGAGTGGTTGCCAGAGACAGGAAAGGTCCACACACTATAGAGTGCTGGAGTGGTTGCCAGAGACAGGAAAGGTCCACACACTCTAGAGTGCTGGAGTGGTTGCCAGAGACAGGAAAGGTCCACACACTTTAGTGTAAATATCATGGTCCTTGAGTGGTTGCCCAGAGACAGGAAAGTTCCACACACTTTAGTGTAAATATAATGGTCCTTGAGTGGTTGCCAGAGACAGGAAAGGTCCACACACTATAGTGTAAATATAATGGTACTTGAGTGGTTGCCCAGAGACAGGAAATGTCCACACACTATAGTGTAAATATAATGGTCCTTGAGTGGTTGCCCAGAGACAGGAATGGTCCACACACTATAGTGTAAATATAATGGTCCTTGAGTGGTTGCCCAGAGACAGGAAAGGTCCACACACTATAGTGTGCTGGAGTGGTTGCCAGAGACAGGAAAGGTCCACACACTATAGTGTAAATATCATGGTCCTTGAGTGGTTGCCCAAAGACAGGAAAGTTCTACACACTTTAGTGTGAATATAATGGTTCTTGAGTGGTTGCCAGAGACAGGAAAGGTCCACATACTATAGAGTGCTGGAGTGGTTGCCAGAGACAGGAAAGGTCCACACACTATAGAGTGCTGGAGTGGTTGCCAGAGACAGGAAAGGTCCACACACTTTAGTGTAAATATCATGGTCCTTGAGTGGTTGCCCAGAGACAGGAAAGTTCCACACACTTTAGTGTAAATATAATGGTCCTTGAGTGGTTGCCAGAGACAGGAAAGGTCCACACACTATAGTGTAAATATAATGGTCCTTGAGTGGTTGCCCAGAGACAGGAAAGGTCCACACACTATAGTGTAAATATAATGGTCCTTGAGTGGTTGCCAGAGACAGGAAAGGTCCACACACTATAGTGTAAATATAATGGTCCTTGAGTGGTTGCCCAGAGACAGGAAAGGTCCACACACTATAGTGTGCTGGAGTGGTTGCCAGAGACAGGAAAGGTCCACACACTTTAGTGTAAATATAATGGTCCTTGAGTGGTTGCCAGAGACAGGAAAGGTCCACACACTATGGTGTAAATATAAAGGTCCTTGAGTGGTTGCCCAGAGACAGGAAAGGTCCACACACTATAGTGTAAATATAATGGTCCTTGAGTGGTTGCCCAGTGAGAGGACAGGTCCACATGCTATAGTAGGTATGTTATTGTGAAGGAAGGGATCGTCAAGAAGACTCACTAAAGTATGTGTATAATGATACTGATTGATTAGCTCTCTACACACTCTAATCTGTCTAACAGACTAATTGGCTTTTTATTATTTCTTTTAGGTGAACAAATACTTTTTCCTTCTGCCAAAACTTCACCTGTGTAAGGGGAACAATTCTCTGAGGTAATTGTGACAAAAAGTTATTTGTTAAATAACTGTTACAATAATTCATCTCTCTGAAGTAATTGTTACAATAATTCATCTCTCTGAAGTAATTGTTACAATAATTCATCTCTCTGAAGTAAGTTTTACAATAATTTTACAATAATTCATCTCTCTGAAGTGATTGTTACAATAATTCATCTCTCTGAAGTAAGTTTTACAATAATTCATCTCTCTGAAGTAATTGTTACAATAATTCATCTCTCTGAAGTAATTGTTACAATAATTCATCTCTCTGAAGTAAGTTTTACAATAATTCATCTCTCTGAAGTAATTGTTACAATAATTCATCTCTCTGAAGTAATTGTTACAATAATTCATCTCTCTGAAGTAAGTTTTACAATAATTCATCTCTCTGAAGTAATTGTTACAATAATTCATCTCTCTGAAGTGATTGTTACAATAATTCATCTCTCTGAAGTAAGTTTTACAATAATTCATCTCTCTGAAGTAAGTTTTACAATAATTCATCTCTCTGAAGTAATTGTTACAATAATTCATCTCTCTGAAGTAAGTTTTACAATAATTCATCTCTCTGAAGTAATTGTTACAATAATTCATCTCTCTGAAGTAATCGTTACAATAATTCATCTCTCTGAAGTAATTGTTACATTAATTCATCTCTCTGAAGTAATTGTTACAATAATTCATCTCTCTGAAGTAATTGTTACAATAATTCATCTCTCTGAAGTAATTGTTACAATAATTCATCTCTCTGAAGTAATTGTTACAATAATTCATCTCTCTGAAGTAAGTTTTACAATAATTCATCTCTCTGAAGTAATTGTTACAATAATTCATCTCTCTGAAGTAAGTTTTACAATAATTCATCTCTCTGAAGTAATTGTTACAATAATTCATCTCTCTGAAGTAAGTTTTACAATAATTCATCTCTCTGAAGTAATTGTTACAATAATTCATCTCTCTGAAGTAATTGTTACAATAATTCATCTCTCTGAAGTAAGTTTTACAATAATTCATCTCTCTGAAGTATTCATCTCTTGTTACAATAATTCATCTCTCTGAAGTAATTGTTACAATAATTCATCTCTCTGAAGTAAGTTTTACAATAATTCATCTCTCTGAAGTAATTGTTACAATAATTCATCTCTCTGAAGTAATTGTTACAATAATTCATCTCTCTCTCTGAAGTAATTGTTACAATAATTCATCTCTCTGAAGTAAGTTTTACAATAATTCATCTCTCTGAAGTAAGTTTTACAATAATTCATCTCTCTGAAGTAATTGTTACAATAATTCATCTCTCTGAAGTAATTGTTACAATAATTCATCTCTCTGAAGTAATCGTTACAATAATTCATCTCTCTGAAGTAATTGTTACAATAATTCATCTCTCTGAAGTAATTGTTACAATAATTCATCTCTCTGAAGTAATCGTTACAATAATTCATCTCTCTGAAGTAATTGTTACAATAATTCATCTCTCTGAAGTAATCGTTACAATAATTCATCTCTCTGAAGTAATTGTTACATTAATTCATCTCTCTGAAGTAATTGTTACATTAATTCATCTCTCTGAAGTAATTGTTACAATAATTCATCTCTCTGAAGTAAGTTTTACAATAATTCATCTCTCTGAAGTAATTGTTACATTAATTCATCTCTCTGAAGTAATTGTTACAATAATTCATCTCTCTGAAGTAATTGTTACAATAATTCATCTCTCTGAAGTAAGTTTTACAATAATTCATCTCTCTGAAGTAATTGTTACAATAATTCATCTCTCTGAAGTTATTGTTACAATAATTCATCTCTCTGAAGTAAGTTTTACAATAATTCATCTCTCTGAAGTAATTGTTACAATAATTCATCTCTCTGAAGTAATTGTTACAATAAGAAATCTCTCTGAAGTAAGTTTTACAATAAGAAATCTCTTGGAATTAATTTTCAAAATAAGTCAGTTTTCAGAGGTTATTGTTACAACAGGTCATCTCTCTGATGAATCTTGGATACAGAATTTGGGTTCAGAACCTCAGATCTGACCCAAATTCAGAACCTTCTAGTAGAATATCTATATCACACATGAATTCTCCTTGTTGAACTATCTGCTAAGTAATGAACACTTCTGTGTTTGATTTTTATTGCTGTTGGTTATCCTGAAATAGATTTGTTGACAATTTGAAGGCCAAACACATCTGTCTTTACTCTGAAGAAAACAACAGAAGTAAAAGAAAATGAAAGCATTAACCTCTCTAAAGAGAACAAAGCTGTTAGGAATGCTTGTAAGGCAAATAAGCGCAACATAAAAGGTGAGTATAGTTACTCTAATCCAGTTGAGTTGGGTAGTGTTGGTAAACCAGAGATCTTATGTTTAGCTCCAAGTAAAGATGATGAAAGTCAAAATAGATCTCTGGGAGCCAAGAAATCCATCTCAGAATGTTCAGCTTACACCTCGGACCAATGATATAAAGTCCAAAATTTGAAAGTATTCTCTTCAAAATTTGTTTTCATCTCATTTACTGACTTTTAATATCTTTCTGTTTAATTACAGCCTAATGTTTGTACATCTTCTTGTTTGTTTGTTTGACACGTCTTGCTGACATTCACTTACCTGTCCATCAATTATCAATTATTAATCTTACGTACACAAACCCTTGTCTTCACACTAGCCCTAATCAACAGTGTTCAGAGTTGAAGGCACAGGTACAAGTCATTATCTACCTATTAATGACCAATTCAGGTAATTACGATCTCTGCAAGTGAATTTTTCTTTCATGTCTGGCTGTCACATCATGCTGCGCCAGCTGACCTAAATTGAGGCCTCAACTCTGTATATGCAAGCAATTGATATACAGAACACAGAATGTGCATGCATAAGAGTATTGTCGAATAAAGAATTGTGTATCATTACACATTTTGAGAATTGCGCCAATGCTATTCCCTTTTTATTATTAGACGTAAAGATATCATTAGTAAACACCAATAAGACCAATTGTAATAAATATTTAATTAAATCCATAGTCAGATGATAAAGCTCAATCAACACTCTGCATACTATAATGTCAATGTCCACCATTACACATGAAAACAGACCATGTGTTCATAGCCTCTGGTTTGTCGCAATATCAGACGTGAAGCAGAATACGAGACATGTCAATTCCTTGACATTAGGACATGTAAGTGTTTCAAAAGATAATTATATTATAATCAACATATTTTTCAATTTCAAAACAGGGTACTGTCCTTACTGATCATTTGGTCTTGCCAGCTGCTGTTTATATATACTTAGTCCCGATTTTGCATGATATTGACTCTGATAGTTGGCTTTAATATATACAGTAATTATCATATTTGTTATTGTTGTTCAGAAATAAACCCTCAAATCTTTTTAGTGACAGTTTTGAGTATTTCAAATCCTATAGCTAAGTAAAGTGTGCACCCCCCACTTTAGACTTTTATTTTCTTGAAAAAAACCTGTGCACATTATGTGGGGTTTTTTAACGGTACCCACTTATTTTGTTGTCATTGCTGTACATCTGTTGTCAGTCCTTAAAAGTACTGCTCTTTTTGGAGAAGTGTTAGATGGATCGTTCTCAAATTCGTAATGTATGGCTAGGTTCCTCACACTGATTTTACGACTTATCAGAAGATGGTGGATTTGACTGCCAAATAACTATTTTTTCACTATTACTTGAGAAGAACTAGATAGATCTTTCCCAAAACAAATTTCATATATTCCCCTTTGTCCTGAGTAACATCTTTTTGGGGGGAATTTTGGGATTCTGGGACTGATCAGAGAAGCAAAATGGCCAACAGATGACCATCTATAGATTGGACAGACATCATTATCACTGTTTCTGAAGAGGAAAGAAGGGAAAGATCCAACTTTAAAAAACAAATAAAGATCAAGCAATAGTAGGTATCGAGATCTCTCTCGAATCTCTTGTTACAAGGGAAGTTTCAAATGATGCAACTTTGATAAAACATTTGATCATATATAATGATGAAACAATTGGGTAAAGGGCTACCAAGTCAATTCAGATGGTTGACCTTGACACACTTACAAGGTTACAAGGTTGAGAACTTCAAATCTCATCTTAAAACAAGAAAGAGGTCCTTGGTCATAGTATTTGTTTAGTGCCATGCTTGAGGATTAGGGTTAAAAGTTTGCAGATATTTACCTTATGAACCAACAGTCTTCTATATAGGCTATTGAACAGATGAACAATCTAGGCCTATTGGACCTCTTCTTTGCCTTAAGTGTTCAAATGCTGTAAAATTGAACTGTTTAATAGTTAAATAGCTTGTCCTGCTACTGCTGTTGTATCAGATAAAGGTCTACATTCAGACAACCATGAAGACCCACCAAGTGTTTTTTTTTTCTTTTTGCAAATGCACCTGCAATAATTCAGCTGTTAAGAAGAACACAGGCTATTTTTTGTTAATTAGAAGAAAATGTGCTGCTTATTCAAGCTGATGACTTTCAGTGATTTCGAGATATCTAGAAGTAATACATACAGGATCACCAATGGAAATCATTCCAAGTTTTCTAGCATGTGTTGATGTCTGTGGTGTTGTTAAGTGATTTCCTACTTCTAAGTCTAGTGTTCGAGCATGTGTTGGTATCTGTGGTGTTGTTAAGTGAGTTCCTCCTTCCAAGTCTAGTTTTCTAGCATGTGTTTTGCCTTCTAAGTCTAGTGTTCTAGCATGTGTTGGTATCTGTGATGCTGTTATGTGATTTCCTACTTCTAAGTCTAGTGTTCTAGCATGTGTTGGTGTCTGTGGTGTTGTTAAGTGATTTCCTACTTCTAAGTCTTGTTTTCTAGCGTGTGTTTCTCCTTCTAAGTCTAGTTTTCTAGCATGTGTTGGTATCTGTGGTGTTGTTAAGTGAGTTCCTCCTTCCAAGTCTAGTTTTCTAGCATGTGTTGGTGTCTGTGGTGTTGTTAAGTGATTTCCTACTTCTAAGTCTAGTTTTCTAGCATGTGTTTCTCCTTCTAAGTCTGGTTTTCTAGCATGTGTTGGTATCTGTGGTGTTGTTAAGTGAGTTCCTCCTTCCAAGTCTAGTTTTCTAGCATGTGTTGGTGTCTGTGGTGTTGTTAAGTGATTTCCTACTTCTAAGTCTAGTTTTCTAGCATGTGTTTCTCCTTCTAAGTCTGGTTTTCTAGCATGTGTTGGTATCTGTGATGTTGTTATGTGATTTCCTACTTCTAAGTCTAGTGTTCTAGCATGTGTTGGTGTCTGTGGTGTTGTTATGTGATTTTCTACTTCTAAGTCTAGTTTTCTAGCATGTGTTTCTCCTTCTAAGTCTAGTTTTCTAGCATGTGTTGGTATCTGTGGTGTTGTTAAGTGAGTTCCTCCTTCCAAGTCTAGTTTTCTAGCATGTGTTGGTATCTGTGGTGTTGTTAAGTGAGTTCCTCCTTCCAAGTCTAGTTTTCTAGCATGTGTTGGTATCTGTGATGTTGTTATGTGATTTCCTACTTCTAAGTCTAGTGTTCTAGCATGTGTTGGTGTCTGTGGTGTTGTTATGTGATTTTCTACTTCTAAGTCTAGTTTTCTAGCATGTGTTTCTCCTTCTAAGTCTAGTTTTCTAGCATGTGTTGGTATCTGTGGTGTTGTTAAATGAGTTCCTCCTTCCAAGTCTAGTTTTCTAGCATGTGTTTTGCCTTCTAAGTCTAGTGTTCTAGCATGTGTTGGTATCTGTGATGTTGTTAAGTGATTTCCTACTTCTAAGTCTAGTGTTCTAGCATGTGTTGGTATCTGTGATGTTGTTAAGTGATTTCCTACTTCTCAGTCTAGTGTTCTAGCATGTGTTTCTCCTTCTAAGTCTAGTGTTCTAGCATGTGTTGGTATCTGTGGTGTTGTTAAGTGAGTTCCTCCTTCCAAGTCTAGTTTTCTAGCATGTGTTTTGCCTTCTAAGTCTAGTTTTCTAGCATGTGTTGGTATCTGTGATGTTGTTAAGTGATTTCCTACTTCTAAGTCTAGTGTTCTAGCATGTGTTGGTATCTGTGATGTTGTTAAGTGATTTCCTACTTCTAAGTCTAGTGTTCTAGCATGTGTTGGTGTCTGTGGTGTTGTTAAGTGAGTTCCTCCTTCTCAGTCTAGTGTTCTAGCATGTGTTGGTATCTGTGATGTTGTTAAGTGAGTTCCTCCTTCCAAGTCTAGTTTTCTAGCATGTGTTGGTATCTGTGGTGTTGTTAAGTGAGTTCCTCCTTCCAAGTCTAGTTTTCTAGCATGTGTTGGTATCTGTGGTGTTGTTAAGTGAGTTCCTCCTTCCAAGTCTAGTTTTCTAGCATGTGTTGGTATCTGTGATGTTGTTATGTGATTTCCTACTTCTAAGTCTAGTGTTCTAGCATGTGTTGGTGTCTGTGGTGTTGTTATGTGATTTTCTACTTCTAAGTCTAGTTTTCTAGCATGTGTTTCTCCTTCTAAGTCTAGTTTTCTAGCATGTGTTGGTATCTGTGGTGTTGTTAAGTGAGTTCCTCCTTCCAAGTCTAGTTTTCTAGCATGTGTTTTGCCTTCTAAGTCTAGTGTTCTAGCATGTGTTGGTATCTGTGATGTTGTTAAGTGATTTCCTACTTCTAAGTCTAGTGTTCTAGCATGTGTTGGTATCTGTGATGTTGTTAAGTGATTTCCTACTTCTCAGTCTAGTGTTCTAGCATGTGTTTCTCCTTCTAAGTCTAGTGTTCTAGCATGTGTTGGTATCTGTGGTGTTGTTAAGTGAGTTCCTCCTTCCAAGTCTAGTTTTCTAGCATGTGTTTTGCCTTCTAAGTCTAGTGTTCTAGCATGTGTTGGTATCTGTGATGTTGTTATGTGATTTCCTACTTCTAAGTCTAGTGTTCTAGCATGTGTTGGTGTCTGTGGTGTTGTTAAGTGATTTCCTCCTTCTAAGTCTAGTGTTCTAGCATGTGTTGGTGTCTGTGGTGTTGTTAAGTGATTTCCTACTTCTAAGTCTAGTGTTCTAGCATGTGTTGGTGTCTGTGGTGTTGTTAAGTGATTTCCTACTTCTAAGTCTTGTTTTCTAGCGTGTGTTTCTCTTTCTAAGTCTAGTGTTCTAGCATGTGTTTCTCCTTCTAAGTCTAGTTTTCTAGCATGTGTTTCTCCTTCTAAGTCTAGTTTTCTAGCATGTGTTGGTATCTGTGGTGTTGTTAAGTGAGTTCCTCCTTCCAAGTCTAGTTTTCTAGCATGTGTTGGTATCTGTGGTGTTGTTAAGTGAGTTCCTCCTTCCAAGTCTAGTTTTGTAGCATGTGTTTTGCCTTCTAAGTCTAGTGTTCTAGCATGTGTTGGTGTCTGTGGTATTGTTCAGTGAGTTCCTCCTTCTCAGTCTAGTTTTCTAGCATGTGTTTCTCCTTCTAAGTCTAGTTTTCTAGCATGTGTTGGTATCTGTGATGTTGTTAAGTGATTTCCTACTTCTAAGTCTAGTTTTCTAGCATATGTTGGTGTCTTGGTGTCTGTGATGTTGTTAAGTGAGTTCCTCCTTCCAAGTCTAGTGTCCTAGCATGTGTTGGTATCTGTGATGTTGTTAAGTGATTTCCTACTTCTAAGTCTAGTGTTCTAGCATGTGTTGGTATCTGTGATGTTGTTAAGTGATTTCCTACTTCTAAGTCTAGTGTTCTAGCATGTGTTGGTGTCTGTGGTGTTGTTAAGTGAGTTCCTCCTTCCAAGTCTAGTTTTCTAGCATGTGTTGGTATCTGTGGTGTTGTTAAGTGAGTTCCTCCTTCCAAGTCTAGTTTTCTAGCATGTGTTTTGCCTTCTAAGTCTAGTGTTCTAGCATGTGTTGGCATCTGTGGTGTTGTTAAGTGAGTTCCTCCATCCAAGTCTAGTTTTCTAGCATGTGTTTTGCCTTCTAAGTCTAGTGTTCTAGCATGTGTTGGCATCTGTGATGTTGTTAAGTGAGTTCCTACTTCTAAGTCTAGTGTTCTAGCATGTGTTGGTGTCTGTGGTATTGTTCAGTGAGTTCCTCCTTCTCAGTCTAGTTTTCTTGCATGTGTTTCTCCTTCTAAGTCTAGTGTTCTAGCATGTGTTGGCATCTGTGATGTTGTTAAGTGAGTTCCTCCTTCCAAGTCTAGTTTTCTAGCATGTGTTGGTATCTGTGGTGTTGTTAAGTGAGTTCCTCCTTCCAAGTCTAGTTTTCTAGCATGTGTTTTGCCTTCTAAGTCTAGTGTTCTAGCATGTGTTGGCATCTGTGATGTTGTTAAGTGAGTTCCTACTTCTCAGTCTAGTTTTCTAGCATGTGTTTCTCCTTCTAAGTCTAGTTTTCTAGCATATGTTGGTGTCTTGGTGTCTGTGATGTTGTTAAGTGAGTTCCTCCTTCCAAGTCTAGTGTCCTAGCATGTGTCGGTATCTGTGATGTTGTTGAGTGAGTTCCTACTTCTAAGTCTAGTTTTCTAGCATGTGTTGGTATCTGTGATGTTGTTAAGTGAGTTCCTCCTTCCAAGTCTAGTGTCCTAGCATGTGTTGGTATCTGTGATGTTGTTGAGTGAGTTCCTACTTCTAAGTCTAGTGTTCTAGCATGTGTTGGCATCTGTGATGTTGTTAAGTGAGTTCCTACTTCTAAGTCTAGTGTTCTAGCATGTGTTGGTGTCTGTGGTATTGTTCAGTGAGTTCCTCCTTCTCAGTCTAGTTTTCTTGCATGTGTTTCTCCTTCTAAGTCTAGTGTTCTAGCATGTGTTGGCATCTGTGATGTTGTTAAGTGAGTTCCTCCTTCCAAGTCTAGTTTTCTAGCATGTGTTGGTATCTGTGGTGTTGTTAAGTGAGTTCCTCCTTCCAAGTCTAGTTTTCTAGCATGTGTTTTGCCTTCTAAGTCTAGTGTTCTAGCATGTGTTGGCATCTGTGATGTTGTTAAGTGAGTTCCTACTTCTCAGTCTAGTTTTCTAGCATGTGTTTCTCCTTCTAAGTCTAGTTTTCTAGCATATGTTGGTGTCTTGGTGTCTGTGATGTTGTTAAGTGAGTTCCTCCTTCCAAGTCTAGTGTCCTAGCATGTGTCGGTATCTGTGATGTTGTTGAGTGAGTTCCTACTTCTAAGTCTAGTTTTCTAGCATGTGTTGGTATCTGTGATGTTGTTAAGTGAGTTCCTCCTTCCAAGTCTAGTGTCCTAGCATGTGTTGGTATCTGTGATGTTGTTGAGTGAGTTCCTACTTCTAAGTCTAGTTTTCTAGCATGTGTTGGTATCTGTGATGTTGTTGAATGAGTTCCTCCTTCTAAGTCTAGTTTTCTAGCATGTGTTGGTATCTGTGATGTTGTTGAGTGAGTTCCTCCTTCTAAGTCTAGTTTTCTAGCATGTGTTGTGTCTTTGGTGTTGTTGAGTGTTAATACTGTAATACTGTTGTAGGGGAGACAGCACTTCATAGAGCCTGTATCAGAAACGATGTGTTCAGCTTGAGAAAACTGCTCAAGATTCCAGGTAAATTAAAAACTGAAATATTTTAAGCTACAGGCTCATATATATGTACCAGTAGTAGATTGTTCATGGAAAGAAATTAACTTCCAACATAATTTAGCTACAGTACCATGTAAGTAGTATTTACACTTATCATCTATTGTTATAACTATCAGATCAATAGAGAAGAGATATTACTGGAGACACAGTAAAGTGGTAATAGAATAATAATAATAATATTTGGTTTGTTTAGGAATAGACATCAATGCTAAAGACAATGCTGGCTGGACACCTCTCCATGAAGCCTGTAACCATGGACACATACAGTGTGTGAAGGAACTACTGAACTTTGTACCCTCAAAAACAGTGGGCTCTTTCTTCAGTTCAGGTATCGGAGTCATTTTCATGCTCCTTGATGGGAGGTCACATAGTCATTGCTTTGTCTGTGTGTTCGTCCATTTGTTTGTCTGACCGTCTGTCCATTGGTCAAAATTCTATCTGGAGCATATCACAATAACTATAAGAGGCATCAACATTAAACTTAAAAGGTAGATAGATCTTGATAAGGAATAGTGCAGTATACAAGAACCATGTCTCTCTTTTGCATAATTTAGGAGTTATTGAAACTTGGTGTATACATTGGTCATACTATGAGAGTGTGCAGTATACCAAATTCAGGGTCTGCAACTTCTTAAGTACGAAATTATTGCCATTTAATTAAATTTTGTGTCAAATAAGGTCATTTTGGGGGAGCATTCATTAGTTTCACTGATACTTTTGTTGAAATAAAAATGTAACACTTCATTAGTGAATAGCAAATGCAGGAACCTTAGACATAAAATTTGATTGTTAATCAAGACCTCAAAATATCACGTAGTGTAAGCCATGTCTCTTAGCTTGTCTAGTTTTATTCAAACATTACATCCTGTTCTGTCACAAATCCATTTTGTTATTTTGGTAGATTTTTTTATAGATTTTTCAATTATGAAAATTCTTGTCCCTGTTGTGAGGTATTGAAAGGATCAGTCAGAAATTTCAAATGTAGATGCCCTTTTGTTCTACGTTGTGCCTGATTGGAAATACAAAATGGCTGATAGTTGTAAGTTTCATTTTGGTGATAATCAGTGAAATGGTAACAAATTGACTTCTTGGATTTCAGCTAAGATGATAATGAATCATTTCTGCTGCTGTTTTCATATTATATAGATTTTGTTTGGTTCTTTTTTGTGCTTGTGTTATTTTGAGACTAAGTTGGGAAAATTATAACTGAAAGTCAGCCATTTGATTTTTGACACCAGAAGGCTTATCCTTATTTGTTGTAAATAACTGGAGAGATCATTTAGAAATTTCCTGTGTAATTGCTCTACCACATGATTTACTGTATAACAGGCTTATTTGCTATGTACAAATTCAGGTTTTTGGTTTCAAAACATTTTACCCATCTGATATTCTAGCCTTTGACAATCAGGAACTATAATTATATAACTCGTTTCCATTTCAATATCCAGTCTTATGGTGAAAATAGAGAATATAACACACCAAATTAAAAAACATTAATTCATGGTTTATGCCATATGATGTGAGAAAAATGTAATGTTAGAACAAAGAAGAGAAGAAAGATCAACTTTACATTGAACCACAATCCCTCTATCATAGATATATGACAAGAAACAAATGGCTGCTCCATAGTGGCATATTTGTGGTATTGCTGTTGCTTTGATTTACAGGAGAGAATCTTTGTAGAAAGGCAGACCTGTTACTAAGTAATACTGAGGGAGTCACTCCCCTACATGATGCTGTCATGAATGAGAGACTGGATGTGTGTTGTCTGTTGCTTCAACATGGTGGTAAGACTGTTTGAAATGAGTTTGTGTTATTTAAATGATAAGATAAAATTTTACATCACACTTTTGTCTCGGATGATGACCATTTTACCCATATGATACATGTACTTTTTGTGTTGCTGCCTTTGTGCCTTCGCCGATAAATAGTATTTTTGTGTCGCCTGCAGAGCTGGCAGACATTTAGGGATCACTTTGTCAGTCGTCTCGCGTCGGCATCGGCGTCGTCCATACCAAAGTTTTCCAGACTTTTTTTCGGTAATGCTTTGAGTTATCAAAATGCAATTTGGCATATGGCTTTTGTTGCAAGGGTACAGATTAAGTTTGATTCCCGGCTATCTGTGACCCTTATTGGCAGAGTTATGCCCCTTTCAACTCAGAAAATTTCCTGGGAATATTGTTTTCCGGACTTTTTTGGCTAATGCTTTGAGTTATCGAAATGAAATTTGGTATATGGCTTCTTGTTGCAAGGTCACAGATTAAGTTTGATTCCTGGCTGTCTGTAACCCTTCTTGGCAGTGATATATCCCTTTGAACTTGGAAAATTTCTCAGGAATTTTGCTTTGCGCAGTTTTTCCTTTATGCTTCAAGTTATAGAAATGAAATTTAGTATTACAACTTTATGGTTGATCGTTGCACATCCAGTTCAATTTCTGGGTGACCGTGACACTTTATGCAGGCGACACATACAGTTCTGAGGAACTCTTGTTCCATCCTTTGTGGATGGTTAGGCATAAATTACGTCTAATTGTTCATCTTTATAAAGTATGACCTGCTTTAAAATGTTAACATTTCTCAATATATCTCTATCATATTTTACAGTTATCAAATATATGTTGTAGTCACTAAGGCTTAGCCCAACTTACAAGTTACATAATTATTTATGTGTTGTAGAGTTAAATATTTAATTTATGTTCAGAGCCATTTACCTAGTATATAATTTTATTGCTGTTTTAGGTTGGCCACTTCTGCAAAGTAAGACCATCAATAATCTTACCCCCCAGGACCTGGCAGTAACAACAAATATGAGGAACCTGCTGCTTTCTTTTGAAAAAGAGGAACATATCATTAGTTCACAAGGTATAACTATTAGTTTACATTTCAGTGTTTAAAGACATTTTAAAATCAACTAAGTCACTTTGTGAACTTTGATCATTCTCTTTCATATGTCATCTGTTGTGATCCACAAACAATTACTGGTATAAACAGATGTCGTACAAACCATGAAACATGATCAGAATCACAAAGATCAGAAAAGTCAGTTAACCTCATATGTATAAGCAACTAGATCTCCCTTTCCTTCCTAGTTCTGGTGAGCCTCCTCGCGTTTCTATACGAAACTTTACCTGTATAACATTTCTAGCTGTGTTTCACTATATCATTGATACATTTATTACAATTTTAAAGCATATTCTTTATTTTCTGATTCAAAAAATGTTGTCCTGTTTAATATTTGAAATATGGTATATGTCATTCTAAACAATGTATTATTGAAATGATTTGTAAATTGTATTATCACATGTACTGCTAAATCTTTGGAGGTGTGAGGCTGGAGCATTCCATTCTTATTGTACTTCATGTCAAGTGTTCAGACATTGAATGTGAGGGCTGGTTTTTTTCTCATTGCATGATAGGCAGCAACTGTTCTCAGGACAGTCATGGGCCAAGTGATTACCTTTATGACAAGGTACTGGGACAAGAGGGAGCAGAACAGTGTAGCAACCGCGATGATTGTGCTAAATACATCTGTTTGGTGACTACCACAGTCAGATCCTATCTTGAGGCAGCTGATATCTCAACACTAATCTCCCTCACTAGAAGCATGGATCCCAGCACAGGAGGCATTTCATCACTTAGTGACAGTATGGTACCTGTGGAAGGGGGTGTGTCCTCCTCCAGAGATCCCAGCACAGGAGGCATTTCATCACTTAGTGACAGTATGGTACCTGTGGAAGAGTGTGTGTCCTCCTCCAGAAATCCCAGCACAGGAGGCATTTCATCACTTAGTGACAGTATGGTACCTGTGGAAGAAGGGTGTGTGTCCTCCTCCAGAGATCCCAGCACAGGAGGCATTTCATCACTTAGTGACAGTAAGGTACCTGTGGAAGGGGGTGTGTCCTCCTCCAGAGAAGGTGTGTCATTGCTGACAGGAGTGGTCAGTGTATTAAAAGGAGTTACTACCAGTAACACCAATGATTGTGATTTCAAACAATCAGCAGGAAGTAAAAATGTAACATTAGAAAAAGGAAAGCAGGGGTTGACCAACATTAATACTCATTTAGTCGACAGAGTGAAGTCAGACTTGAGGATTGTAAAAAAATTAGACCAATATGTCCAGCAATTTGAAAATCATGTGATGAGAATAAGTTGTCCAGTCGACCATGCACCACTAAAATTTCAGATCATGTGTTTGTGGTGTTTAGCAGAGTCCAGTGGTAAATGTAAATCACAGATAATTCCTTAATACAACCAGACTGTGATGTGGTACAATTATATAGTTATCTGGTCAAATAGGTTTCATCAAAAATCACCTGATAAACATACGCTTCAGGTTGTTAGCACAATTGTATATCGTATTCAGATGTCAAGATCTTTTTCGTTACTTTTATATATATTGCTTGCGCCAAAATTATTGAAGCATTATAACATGCGTTCAGATATGGTCTAATGAGGTCTTTACAGAAAACTTCCTTCCAAAAATACCAAGTTTTCAATTCTTTCATGTGTTGAGACAGGTATGTGTTTCAGGTATTCAAAGTCAAAGAAAAGTTTCTAATAATTTTTTGAAGTGTTTCCAAAGTTTTCATAATAAATGTTGAAACAATAAGTTTTTTCTTTATTTCTAAATGGTCAGATTGTGATGTCCCACTTATTTTTGTCATTCATTCTTGACATCTTGATATAAATTGTAATTTGGATATGAAAAAAATTGATGTGTTCAGAACTAATCTACAGGCAGAAGTATCAAAACATGTCCTTACTTTGACCTAGTTTTCATGCTTAAGTGAAACTTTTTAACATAAATCAATTTAAGCCATTTGCACATCACATTTCAAAGATTACTCAGTGTTGATTTCTGGATTTTGTCTTTACAGTATATTGTAACATGACGCTGCCCTAATTGGAACACTTTTTGAAGGAAGCTGTGAAAAAATGTGTTTCAATCCTGTATTAATGCTTGGTATTTCACCAACAGGTATCTTCAACTTTTGTGTCATGGTTCAGCAATGCAATTCATCAGGTAGTGTTACCTGAAATGGAACACCTCTCATATTCTGTTAGTTTAAAGAAACAACTGACATAATCTTGAATTTTTAAAAAAGTTCTTGTCTTTCTCATTAATTTCAGTCACTTATCTATCAAAAATGTTTATTCAGCAATACTTTTCATGATTTTAAAACATGATATAATATTTATTGTGTCGCATTGCATCATTTCTGAGGAAATTTTAGAAGTTCACATTTTTTATTTCAAATAGAAGACATGGCCAATTGAAAAATCACATATTAATGAATACATATTTTTTGTTTCGAATAGTTAATTATCACTTGTATAGCAAAATGATAAACAATTGAGAAGTGTTCAATTTTGGGTAGCATCAGGTTATGGCATTTTCTGTCCAGCATTAATTTTCCTTTGTGTTGAGAACTTCCTCAGTTTCTAACTGATCTCAATATTAACAGGCTTAATGTAATGTAGGACAAGCGTCGGATTTAGGGGTTCAGAATTGAAAGCAGGAACTCATAGCAATTGTACTAGAAAATATTTACAGTTTATTAAGTACAACTACCAATCCACACTAAAGCACATTCACACTCACTCTCACTTCCACTAACCAGCACATAAAGTTCAAAATATGAGTCCAACACAGCACGATCACAGTAAACATTTAAGTTCACCTTCCCATTTACAAGAATTTAAGCAGGTGCGTGTCAACTGGGATGATTTCCACAAAGCCTTCCTCACCATGCACTACCCAACAGGCAGGGCTCGACACTAACCTATGTCCGTTAGTCCGTGACTAGTAAATTTCCACACGGACTAATGGAATATGCATCCAGTCAGTCTGTCTGACTAGTAAACTTTTATCAAGCAGATTGTTTTTCTGATGTTCATAACTAATGTGCACAATTAAATTAATGAACCTTGTCCAATAAATCTACAATGCTTGACTGTATTTATAAAAATCCTGCACGAAATACAGCGAAGCCGTGCCGGTAAAAACCCATGTATCACATGGTTTAAATTGCAGTCCGCAGTACGTTTGCACGACAGATCTCTCTCGTACGAATAATTACAAGCGTCTATGTTGTGTAGACTGAGAGAAACGTGGCGATACTTGGAAGGAGTATCAAATCCGTCCGATCCTAAGAAGAAAAAGGTTGAAAAAGTGGAACGCGATCGGCAATATGACAAAACAACACGAGTCCGATCTTTTCAAAAGAAATGGTTTGAAGGCCGTGCATGGCTTCGCTTTGATTCTGAAGAGGGAAACTCAAAGATGTTCTGCCAGTGGTGTGTAGAACGAGCTGCCTCCGATGCTGGAAAAAAGTGACTGGATGTAGCAATCTCCGTTTAGAAATATTGTAATCAATGAATATGAAATAAAATTGCATTGATTTACCAGATTATATTGTCTTTGTTTATTTTGTTCAATACGGACTAGTGAAAACACCTGCGGACTACCTGTGATGAAAACCTACAAGTCCGCCAGTCTAGTAGACAAAAAAGTTAGTATCAAGCCCTGAACAGGCGTAGTGCTCAAATACCCCACAGCTAGTGGTCTACCCCGCATTTGTTACACAATAGGAATTGGCTTCTGTTACTAACAGTTGACGTGTAGTAGAAAATTTCCTTTCCAGATCCCGTACTAACAGTCGACGTGTAGGAGGCTGCCCCTTTCCAGATCCCGTACTAACAGTCAATGTGTAGGAGACTGTCCCTTTCCTGATCCCGTACTAACAGTCGACATGTAGGAGACTGTTCCTTTCCAGATCCCGTACTAACATCCCTTTCCAGATCCCATAATAACAGTCAACTATAGGAGACTGTCCTTTTCCAGATCCCAAAATAACAGTCGACGTGTAGGATACTGTTCCTTTCCAGATCCCGTACTAACATCCCTTTCCAGATCCCATAATAACAGTCAACTATAGGAGACTGTCCTTTTCCAGATCCCAAAATAACAGTCGACGTGTAGGAGGCTGTACCTTTCCAGATCACATTCACACAGTCGCGTGTAGGAGACTTTCCCTTTCCAGATCCCGTAGTAACAGTCCATGTGTAGGAACAGATCCATAACAGTCGACGTGTAGGAGACTGTCCCTTTCCAGATCCCGTACTAACAGTCGATGTGTAGGAGACTGTCCCTTTCCAGATCCCGTACTAACAGTCGACGTGTAGGATACTGTCCCTTTCCAGATCCCGTACTAACAGTCGACATATAGGAGACTGTCCGTTTCCAGATCCCATACTATCAGTCGAGGTGTAGGAGACTGTCCCTTTTCAGATCCATAACAGTGAATGTGTAGGACACTGTCCCTTTCCAGATCCCGTACTAACAGTCCACGTGTAGGAGACTGTCCCTTTCCAGATCCCATACTAACAGTCGACGTGTAGGAGACTGTCCCTTTCCAGATCCTGTACTAACAGGCGATGTGTAGAAGAACGTTCCCTTTCCAGATCCCCTAATAACAGTTGCTGTGTAGGAGACTGTCCCTTTCCAGATAACAGTTGACGTGTGTGTTTCCTTTCCAGATCTCGTAATAACAGTTAACTGTAGGAGACTGTCCCTTTCCAGATCCCATACTAACAGTCGACGTGTAGGAGACTGTCCCTTTCCAGATCCCGTAGTAACAGTCCATGTGTAGGAGACTGTCCCTTTCCAGATCCCGTACTAACAGTCGACGTGTAGGATACTGTTCCTTTCCAGATCCCGTACTAACAGTCCATGTGTAGGAAGCTGTCCCTTTCCAGATCCCATACTAACAGGCGATGTGTAGGAGAACGTTCCCTTTGCAGATCTTCTGATAACAGTTGCTGTGTAGGAGACAGTCCCTTTTCAGATCCCGTACTAACAGTCGACATGTAGGAGACTGTTCCTTTCCAGATCCCATACTAACATCCTTTTCCAGATCCCAAAATAACAGTCGACATGTAGGACACTGTCCCTTTCCAGATCCCGTACTTACAGTTGACTTGTAGGAGACTGTCCCTTTCCAAATCCCGTACTAACAGTCGATGTGTAGGAGAACGTTCCCTTTCCATATTCTGTACTAACAGTCGACATGTAGGAGAATGTTCCCTTTCTAGATAACATAATAAAAGTCGACATGTAGGAGACTATCCCTTTCCAGATACTGTACTAACAGTCGATGTGTAGGAGAATGTTCCCTTTCCAGATACTGCACTAACAGTCGATGTGTAGGAGACACTCCCTTTCCAGATCCCATACTAACAGTCGACGTGTAGGAGAATGTTTCCTTTCCAGATCCCGTAATAACAGTTAACTATAGGAGAATGTTCCCTTTCCAGATCCCATACTAACAGTCGACGTGCAGGAGACAGTCCCTTTCCATATCACATTCACACAGTCGCACAGTCCCTTTCGTACTAACAGTCCATGTGTAGGAGACTGTCCCTGTGCAGATCCCGTACTAACAGTCAACGGGTAGGAGACTGTCCCTTTCCAGATCCCGTACTAACAGTCGACGTGTAGGAGACTGTCCCTTTCCAGATCCCTGTACTTCCCTTTCCAGATCCCAGATAACAGTAACATGTGTAGGAGACTGTCAGTCGACGTGTAGGAGACTGTCCCTTTGCAGATCCCGTACTAACAGATGACATGTAGGAGACTGCCATTTCCAAATCCCCTAATAACAGTCGCTGTGTAGGAGACTGTCCCTTTCCAGATCCCGTACTAACATTCGATGTGAAGGAGAACGTTCCCTTTCCATATTCTGTACTAACAGTCTACGTGTAGGAGAATGTTCCCTTTCCAGATCACATTCACACAGTCGACTGTGTAGGAGACTGTCCCTTTCCAGATCCCGTACTAACATTTGATGTGTAGGAGAACTGTCCCTTTCCAGATCCCTTACTAACAGTCCACGTATAGGAGAATGTTCCCTTTCCAGATCACATTCACACAGTCGACGTGTAGGAGACTGTTCCTTTCCAGATCCCATACTAACAGTCGACGTGTAGGAGACTGTCCCTTTGCAGATCCCATACTAACAGGCGATGTGTAGGAGAACGTTCCCTTTGCAGATCTTCTGATAACAGTTGCTGTGTAGGAGACTGTCCCTTTTCAGATCCCGTACTAACAGTCGACATGTAGGAGACTGTTCCTTTCCAGATCCCATACTAACATCCTTTTCCAGATCCCAAAATAACAGTCGACATGTAGGACACTGTCCCTTTCCAGATCCCGTACTTACAGTTGACTTGTAGGAGACTGTCCCTTTCCAAATCCCGTACTAACAGTCGATGTGTAGGAGAATGTTCCCTTTCCAGATACTGTACTAACAGTCGATGTGTAGGAGACACTCCCTTTCCAGATCCCATACTAACAGTCGACGTGTAGGAGAATGTTTCCTTTCCAGATCCGGTAATAACAGTTAACTATAGGAGAATGTTCCCTTTCCAGATCCCATACTAACAGTCGACGTGTAGGAGACAGTCCCTTTCCATATCACATTCACACAGTCGACGTGTAGGAGACTGTCCCTTTCCAGATCCCGTACTAACAGTCCATGTGTAGGAGACTGTTCCTTTCCAGATCCCGTACTAACATCCCTTTCCAGATCCCGTAATAACATTCAACTATAGGAGAATGTTCCCTTTC